CGTGATTAATTGCTACTGCTTGAAAAGTGAAGAAATAAGATAAGTAATCAATTATTATCAAGGTTAGATATCAATCCTCACCGAGAGTAAATATAGGGATGTAACCATGTAAGTCCTTAATTTTCTTGTTGATATGCCAATTTGCTGCTGACAAACCATGACTGATGCATAATCTATTGTTTTATTGAATTGACTAAATATCTTGTTATACATATAATTTCATGATTATTATACCTAAATATTTCTATTGTATTAATTGATTCTTATTCTCAACGTATTGAGATTAAATATATTAATTATATATGACTAGAGTAGTTAATTCTCATATATTTTGATTTAACCTTTATTAAGGAAATTAGTTTACTGTTGTTAATGATTAATGGTTATCATTGATACTCTTTTATAATAAATCATTATATATGCTTTATTAGATGATGGTTGATATGTTGTACAAGGATTTAATGACTCTGTTTTTTTTTTTTTTAATTACTTCGAAAACGTAAAGTAGTTAATTCTCATATATTTTGATTTTTAACCTCTATTAAGCCTCTTGTTTATTAGAGATAAGAATTGCTAAAGTCAACTGTACTCTATATTTAGCTTGTTATGCAAAAATATTATAGAATTATATTGTTAAGATTAAGTAAAGGCTTCTTTTTATGTGAGACAATACTTCTAAACGTTAGTTCAACCCAAAGCCCAAGATAATGACTCGGAAATCAATTCTAATTTGCATCCTTAGTATTGACCAACTATCTATTTTTTACTATGTATTGATTGATGATAAACATAAAGCTAATTGCTTAACTAGTCAAGTGGTTACACTTCCTATTTTCTTGGTTTGTTGGGTAGCTACATATAGATAGATATAGCTTGTATATATCTCTAATATCTAGCACTGACTTTGTAAATTATCTTTAGAGTTTGTTATTTTTCCTTAGGTTTCGTTATACTCTTATAAGCCTAATTAAGGCCACATACTTATTAATAGAATAATTCAATTCTACTCTTATACTATGTTCATCTACAATTTTAATTGCTAATCTTTATTGGTTTTATTGAGGAATGAAATTGCATGATACCTAATACTAGTCATATTCGTATCCGTATTATTGTATTTATGACTATAAATCCATGATATTTGCACATCGATGAAAAATGGAAAAACTAGTAATTTTGAGAATAACTAATGGCTACATCAAGATTAATTATGTTGTATTTATGTAAGCATGTATGTATGCATATGAAGTTCTATAGCAATTTTGGCCAACCTTAACATCATATATATATCAAACGGTCTTGGAATACATTGCATTGGGTTATTTTTTTTTTTTTTTTTTTTGCAAAATACAACTATGTTAGTGTGTATATATATATATATATATATATATATATATATATATATATATATATATATATATATATATATATATATATATATATATATATGTATGTATGTATGCAATTTCATGTAGGGTAGTCATTAATAATCAAGATTGTTGTATATATCATGAATTTACTCACCCAGTGTAGGATCAATCCCTTATTTCTTGTGTCCATGCAATTGTTTGTTATGTAATGTGTATTTGTGAGCTAGGATCAGTTTAGTCTGTGGCAATAATATATAAGAAGTTGACAATGCATTGCTCAGTTTTATATATAGTCCAGTGATCTTATTAATTGATTAATGCATGCCTTCAATTTGACCCTTCTAATTTTGCTTATATGACTCGCATTAAACTAAAGCAAACAGACGAAAAATGTCAATAATTATGTTTAATTGTGTATTACTAATCTTGTTATGAGTTTTTATTTTTGCAAGCCTTCCTTCTGTACATGTAACTAACCTTATTCATTATTGAATAAGTAACAACTTTTTCAAGATGCCGTAATGATTTATGATAAAAAAAAAAAAAAAAGAGTATGCTATCTTCACTTATATCTATTTGATAGATCTTTTGTTATGTATTGTTTATATGTTTGGCTTTATCTTTGATGATCAATATCTAAGTGCTCATATAGTCCTTTGTGATGGCTCTTTCTCATTAGTTCGATATTATATATGATATTAAACTATAGAGTTGCATAACTAGACCTAAATGCATAAGGAAAGCTATCACACAAATATGTATATCTTTTATCACACCCTAGTAATGTAACAGGGAAGGAAAAGAGCATGTGAGGCATATGATTGGCTTGTATAAACTATCACAAAGTAATAAAAATATAGGTTAAAATGGTTGATTAATTCAACCCTAAATATACTCATTCAATTCCCTGAAGTGAATGTGAGATTGATTGATGGTAAGGATACAATTATCTAAGCATGTTATTGCTAAAAGGAACACGTTACTTGATACATGACATTGCCAATAGAATTTATGGCTTAAAAGGTGTAGAGATTTTAAAGGTTGTTGGATTGATCCCATACCCCCATATGCAAGGATTAGGGGGAGATAGTAATTATTTCATTATTTTATGTAATCCTTGCACATATATAATAAAAAATATATTGATGGTCAGTTTGGTACATACATTAACTTAAATATTAACGTTTTATTTAATAGAAGTTGCCACATGTTAATTAATATATTTCAAAATGATACCATCCTGAAGATGGATATGAATAGATGTCATTAGCTATATACCAAATGTAAATGCTCTAATTAAAACTAATGTCCCAGAAGAACAACAAACATCAATTTCTAATGAACCTAAAGCACGCCTGAAGCGTGGTATTTCAATAGGTTCTAAAATAAAATATAAGAATCTTAAATCAGGAAAAGAGCAATTATTGACAATAGCAAATTTGAGGAAGTAATGCATTTTGATAGATCTTTATAAGAGATTATATTTAGTAAAATGGATATGTACCATGATTATATAGAGTACTCTATAAGAGTATAGAATTATCTAACAAGCTTAGCATGTATCAAGATTATAGTCAAAGCTCCAGCAGAGTATAAAATCTTGGATCAAGTATTAGTTGATTGTCTAGCTAATAATATAAAGAAACACATGTTAGTGTTCTAATATCACATCATATTATGTCTCATAAAGTGATCACCAGTGTTGGAAAACTAACCATGATATAAATTTAGATAAACGATTGGATGTGATAATTAAATTAGGCCATCCGGGTTCAATAAATACCCGTTATGGAAACCTGAAGTTCATTTGATAATGTGCTAACACTCTCTTAATGTTAGATATATGAAATGAATTGAATGGCAAGACATAACATTGAGATTGAACTATATTTGGATTGTGATTTTTAATAATTTGTGTTGAAGAAAATTTTAAGAGATAATATATTCATTTTGAATAAATTTTCATACGAAAGAGTAATAGGTGACTAGAAGTTCACCAGAATAACTTATATGTTGTCACATGTTGGTGACCAGAAGCTCACCAAATACAAGTTGTATGTGGAAATTCTGAATATTTAATTAGTATCATACTATCAAGGTTTCTAGTGATCTAGAAGATCATCACCTAGTAGAATTACAATCAAGTTTATATTTGTATAACAATTCTATTGATTGGGGCTATTGTATGTCAGCACATAAGAAATAGGAAAAGAAGAAAATTCAACTGCACAACATATGTCTCCCCATTGATATTGAATTATTGATCTCCTGAAGAAAACAAATTATGAAAAATATAATAATAAATACATATGCGTTATGCAATGCATAGCTAATGAAGAAATGATTTTTCTTTAAAATTGCTCTCTAGAAGAGATAAAAGCCTGTTAAATTTAATTCTCCTGAGAGATAAGTTTTCTTGATTATGATCCTCCCATGAAATGAATTTTATTGCAAATTTGTATAATAAGTTGGTATAGAATTAGACGCCCCTATAAATAAGATATTTTATCAACTTAGGGGGAAAAGAATTAGCAAAAGTTGGAAAAATCGGAAAATATATAATTGATGATCCCTATAAAGGTTGTTTGAAAAGTTATATGCCAACTTTTGTCTATATATTATCAAGATATGTTGCACATTTATGATTTGATTTGTATTTAGTAATAACTCATGTTACATAGCGTTGAAGATACTTTTTGGTCTTATTATGTGTATACATTGAGATAAAATCTTGTCAATTATACTTGAATCACTACACCTGAAGTGTAGGTTGTATGACCGGTTCCAAAATAAAGATATCTCTAATGGATATGATATATGGAAAGATAGTGCAATTAACACTAATAGCGTAATTGTATATAAATACCATAGTGTATGAAATACCCTAAAAGTGGTATAGATATCTGAATTATTACAATAGATGGCCTATGATGTAAGGAAGTTATGATGGTACTAATAAGAAATGTATTCAGATATCATAGTAAAATAGCATGCGAAATGTACGTTAAAGGAATATTATGATACCGGTACACAAGGAAACCGATAAATAATATGCATATGCATGATAGAATGGACTGGTGAATAAGGGATCTGAAATATATATGTCCATTTTGATGTCGACATAATGATAATGATCAAAAGTTTATCATGGACCAGAAGTCCAATGAAATATGAATTTTTAAATCCACACTGTGCAGTGTCTTGCTTTATTTTGAGTCTTATGTCCATGTACATGTGTGAGTCATAAGTTAATGGATTATTCATTATTGCATATGTCAGAAGTTGTTAGATGCATTACTCATTGTATATTTTGTTTAATATGTTATCATGTTTTCTATATCTCATATTGCATGAAATTAGTACTATACACCCGGGTGCACCATGCACATGGTGCACCTGGGTGAAATTGTTGCTGCGTGACATGCGTGATCTGTTTTTTAAAAAAAAATCATGTGTTTCCGTAATTTAAGGGATTGTGAAGAACATTCCATATTATTTGTTTCCAAAATTACTCCATCTACATTCTTCCATTATTTTCAAATATTTTAGAGAGAGAAAATTAGAGAGAAGTTTAGAGAGAGAAATTATCAGCGATTTACAGAGAATTTCAGAGCAATTTTCTCAATTTTAATGGCGTATCAATCAGAACTTCGACATGATTCTGATGCTAGATTTGTTGATGATAACTATGGTGATGATAATGATGATGATAATGGAGGTGAATTTGAAGATATCGTAAACAGAGACGAAGGTAATTTTTGTTGAATTTTTGTTTTGATTATTTATTTGTGGATATATGAATTGTGAAATTATTAAAAATTAGGTTGAATTTGATTTTAGATTTAGATGATTGATTGTTCAATTGATTGTAATTTTTTTTTAATATAGGTTTTTTTTTGTAAATATATATAATTGCTGGACGTTGAAGATGAAGTTCTTTTTATATTTGGACATGTTCTTTATTTTATTGATTTGTTATGTTCATAGTGTATATGTTCTTTTTATGATACATGTTCTTTTTCATATGATTTATGTTCTTTTTGTGAGACATGTTCTTTTTTTTCATGTTCTTTTCATGATACATGTTCTTTTTTTATGATACATGTTCTTTTTATGATACATGTTCTTTTTTTTCATGTTCTTTTCATGATACATGTTCTTTTTTTATGATACATGTTCTTTTTCATATGAGTTATGTTCTTTTTTATGATACATGTTCTTTTTTTTAATATTCATGTTCTTTTTATGATACATGTTCTTTTTTTCATGTTCTTTTCATGATACATGTTCTTTTTTTATGATACATGTTCTTTTTATGATACATGTTCTTTTTCATATGAGTTATGTTCTTTTTTATGATACATGTTCTTTTTTTAAAATATTTCATGTTCTTTTTTTTTTATATATTTTTGGTGATATAATTGTTGGACGTTGAATATGAGGTTCTTTTTATATTTTGTCATGTTCTTTATTTTATTTATTTGTTCATGTTCACAGTGTATATGTTTTTTTTATGATACATGTTCTTTTTCATATGAGTTATGTTCTTTTTATGATACATGTTTTTTTTTTCATGTTCTTTTCATAATACATGTTCTTTTTTATGATACATGTTCTTTTTATGATACATGTTCTTTTTCATATGAGTTATGTTCTTTTTATGATATATGTTCTTTTTTTAATATTCATGTTCTTTTGTATGCAGATGTTCTTTTCATATGAGTTATGTTCTTTTTTTAATATTCATGTTCTTTTTATTATTTTAGGCTTTACTGAGGCAAAGGAATCTGAACTTTATCTCAAAAAAGTCAAGTCTGATGATGAGGCATATGAGTTGTACAATAATTATGCATTTAAACATGGATTTGGTACACGTAAGGCGAAAAAGAATTTTAGAGAAGATAAGGCTACTATTCGCCAACGATTTTGTGTTTGTTCTTATGCTGGTTTTAAGAAAGAAAGAAAGCCAGGTGATGAACCAAAAGTGTATCAGAAGAGAAACTTTCGCACAGGATGCAAAGCAATGATTCAATTTGATGTTGAATTAGATTCTGGTTTGTTTGTTGTTGTCAAACATCTCATGGATCATAATCATAGCAGAGTTCCAGTTTCAAAAAGACATTTGATTAGGTCTCATAGGAAGGTATGATCTTTTTATGATACATGATCTTTAATATTTTAGGATGTTCTTTATTATATATAAGTATGTTCTTTGTGAAAACATTATGTTCATTAATGTTCTTTTTCGTATAATGTAATGTTCTTTATGCATTTTCAGTGTGTTCTTTTTAATAATTTTAATGTTCTTTTTCAGTAACAGTGATGTTCAATTTATTTTCATAATTGTTCTTTTTAGTTTGCATCATGTTTATTAATGTTTATATTGATACTGATGTTCTTTTCTGAAATATTGATTTTAACATGTTCTTTTTTTCTTAACTATTTATAGATCAGTCAAGAACAATTTGGTATGCTTAATAGTTTAACTGAGAATGGTATACGTGTTGCTGATGCTGTTCGAGTTTTAAAAAATCAAGCTGGTGGTGAGAAAAATTTGGGATTTCTTTGCAGCGATGCTTATGATGCTTTAGCTTCAGAGAAGAGGAAGAAGTTTGATGGTTGTGATACTAAGCAACTACTCAGTTATTTTAAAGAACGCAAATCAAATGAGTATGACTTCTACTATGATTTTGATGTTGATGATAAAGGTCATTTGCAATCTTTCTTCTTTCGAGACAATGGGATGAAGGTTGATTATGATGCTTTTGGGGATTTATTGGTTCATGATACAACATATCGTACAAATAAATATGCTATGATTTGTGGTCCATTTGTTGGTATGAATCATCACAATAAAAATGTTATGTTTGGCATTGGATTTTTGATTAATGAGAAGTGGGAGTCATTTGTGTGGTTGTTCACTACCTTTTTGAAATCGATGGGTGGTAAACATCCCGTTACAATCATGACTGATCAGGCCCAAGCTATGGCCAAGGCTATTAGAATTGTCTTCCCAAATTCTCGGCATCGATTATGTACTTGGCATATCAAAGAGAATTCAAAGAAAAATATCAAAGGACTGAGGGCAAAAAAAGGGTTTAATGAATTGTTTGACATAGTCCTAAAATACACAGATACTATTCAGGAGTTTGAGCACTATTGGTCTAGGTAATATTCTTTTGATGTTATGATTTTATTTTGATTTTATGATTTATATTTTCACATGTTCTTTTTTGTATAATGTAATGTTCATTATGCATTTATAGTATGTTCTTTTTAATAATTTTAATGTTCTTTTTCAGAAATAGTGATGTTCATTATATTTTCACAATTGATCCTGATGTTCTTTTTCAGAAATATTGATGTTCACATGCTCTTTTTGTATAATGTAATGTACAATGTACTGTTTAATATGTTTTTTTTGGCAATTACTATTGTTCATTATATCTTTACAGTATGTTCTTTTAGTAAGAATTATGTTCATTAATGTTTTTCCAAATTTCAGCATGCTTACAAAATATGATTGCAAGAATAATAGTTGGATCAACAACTTGTATAACATCAGAGACATGTGGTGCCCTGCATACTGTAAGGACTATTTTAGTGGTGGTATTTTATCTTCTCAGAGAAGTGAAACTACAAACAGGTCTGTTTCCCGTAGACTTCATATCACTCATGGGCTTTGTGAGTTTTACAATTCTTTCATTGAGGTTGTTGATGAATGGAGGAGTAAAGAAAGCAGAAATGATTATGACAGCATAACTGGCAATCGTCATTTAGTGTGGGCAGATATTGGTTTGTTAGAGCATGCTCGAAACATTTACACAATTCAAGTGTATATACTATTTGAGGATAATTTTGTGAGTGGTGTTCCTTGCACAGCAAAGATAATAGGAATTCAACATCCTCTTTATGAGTATCATGTTGGGCATACAAAGAGGGATTTGATCATGCACACTGTTTCTTTTGATGAATCATTGGTTTCAGTTGATTGTGCATGCAAATATTTTAGTGAGGTTGGACTACTATGAAAGCATTCATTGCGTGTTCTTCATTTGAACAACATCACCTACATCCCAAAGAGGTATATTATGAAGAGATGGACAAAGGCTGCAATGTGTACTCGGGTTGATGATAATGTTGTAGCTGAATCGGGAGTTACACCTTCAAATGTGTGGAGATTACATATTATTAGGAATTTTATAAGGCTTCCTGATCGTGCACAAATTGATTTAAAGTCGCGAACTGTCATTGAGGAAGCTATTGATGAGTGCACCAACAAAATTGATATTCTTCTAAGGAAAGATGAAAGTGAAAATCAAGAGTCTTCAAATACTGATTGTCAGTCAACTGTAACACAAGATCAAGGAGATGGTAATTTGTTGGAACCACAAGGAGTAAATGAAGAATGTGTTCCTCAAACTGAAGATGTGAATGGTAAACAAAAAGCTGTAGTTCAAGTAGAAATTAAAGATCCTATCAAGAGAAGAAAGAAGGGGCAAAGAAACACTAGACCTAAGAGTACACAAGAAAAGATAACCAACAAGCTAAAGGGTCAAAAAATCAAGTCATGGAAAAGGAAAACAACAAGAGGTGTTTCAAAATTGAAACAAAAAGCTCAAACTACGATTAAGGTACAGATTTGAGAACTCACAATACCATGTTCTTTTTACTTTACTTTATGTTCTTTTATATATATGTTCTTTTTACTTTACTTTATGTTCTTTTATATATATGTTCTTTTTACTTTATTTTATGTTCTTTTATATATATGTTCTTTTTACTTTACTTTATGTTCTTTTTTACAAAATTAAAAGTTTATATGTTCTTTTTAAATATATGTTCTTTTTACCTTACTTTATGTTCTTTTTTACAAAATTAAAAGTTTATATGTTCATTTCAAATTAATATATGTTCTTTTTAAATATATGTTCTTTTTACCTTACTTTATGTTCTTTTTCACAAAATTAAAAGTTTATATGTTTATTTCACATTAATATATGTTCTTTTTATATATATGTTCTTTTTACCTTACTCTATGTTCTTTTTTACAAAATTAAAAGTTTAAGTTTTCATTTCACATTAATATATGTTCTTTTTATGTATATGTTCTTTACATATCTTAACTTTCTTTTTCCATTAATATATATACTGCTTAACTTATTTTATTTTATTTTTTTTTTCATTTGTTGTGTTATAGGAATTTATGGTTGTACCAAAAGGAAACATATTGGCACATTCAAATGAGTTTGGAGGATCATTAGAGTATTTTGAACCTGATGAGTATTTTGGAGTTCATGTACTTCCTTTTGAACCTTGTCATTAGTAAGAAAATTTAGATTTAATGTTAGTTTTACTTTTTTTTTTATATATTTTGTAGTAGATTCAGCATATTAAAGGTTTTTTGAACTTATATGATTTCTTATATAGCATATTATGCACACTTGTATTCATTTCAAATCAAATAAACAATAGTCATTGATTAAAAAGAACATGTCATTGATTAAAAAGAACATGTTCTTTAGTCAAAAGAACATATCATAAATTGTAAAAGAACATTACTTATATAATAGGAATATGTTTTTTGCAAAAAAAAGAACCAAGTCATATAAATACATATAAATAATTGAAAAAATAATAAACTGCTGCTATTACGTTAATGTTTCAACATCCAAATAAACCTGAAATTTTAAATGTTCCCTAATTCTTTGAAATGTTTTTTGGCACGAGCACACATTTCTGGTTTCTTCATGTTGAGATCAGTGGTGATAAGCTCATATGTGTACCTCAATCTTAGCTTCTTCAATGCATCAAACTGTAAAAAGTGAATGAATAAATTACAACTCAGTCAATAAAAACAAAGCACAAATTCATTTATAGATAGACAAATCTTACATTATTAGCTTTGAGACCACAAGTCCATTTTTTCTTCCCAAAATATGTTTCCATGTGTCTCATTGCATACACACCACAATCAATATTGTTTTTCTCAGTCCTCCATGGCATTTGAACTAACTTCACAGGGTAATTGGACATGTTCTCCCCTATTTTAATATCTTTGCTTTGCAAGTATAACCCAAGAGCATCTCTCTATTAAAAAAGATTATAAGTTATTATCATAAAGAACATAAAAAAAAAAAACATAACGGTTGACTAAAAAGAACATACGACACTGAATTCTTACTAATTTTTCAGGATAGTCAAAATATTTATTCTCCATTGGGATTCCATCTGCAAGTGGTCTGTTGTCAAGTATATCTACTGTCTTTGTCCTAGTGTTGATGACAACAACATAGAAATGTACAGATACGTACACAGGGAAGAAGAACTGAAACATTTAAAAAGAACATGTCATCGAAGAAAAAGAACATAAGTATTAAATAAAGAACATGTTATTGTCTACAAAAGAACATAACTAGTAAATAAAGAACATGTTATCTATAAACAAAAAGAACAAACTACAACAAATTAAAATGAACATAAGTGGTAAATAAAGAACATGTTACCTAAAAGAAATAGCATACTATAGCTTATGAAGAAAAAAATTTCAACTTACCAATTGATATCCATCTGAAGAAAAAGAACATTCATGGTACAATAAAGAACATTTCACTAAAAAGAACATCCATAATATATAAAAGAACATGCACACTGAAAAAGAACGTTCATGATACATAAAAAGAACATCCAGAATATATAAAAAAACATGTGATTAAAAAGAACATGTTCTTTAGTTAAAAGAACATAAGTATTAAATAAAAAACATGTCATTGACTACAAAAGAACATAACTAGTAAATAAAGAACATGTTATTTATAAACAAAAAGAACAAGCTACAACAAACTAAAATGAACATAAGTGGTAAATAAAGAACATGTTACTTAAAAAAAATAGCATACTATAGCATATGAATAAAAAAATTTCAACTTACCAATTGATATTCTTCTGCAGATTCTATTTTGTTACTTTCATTGAGCCAAAAATGCATAGTCTCAAAAAATTTGTCAATCCTATATCTAGGTGTTGGTGATTGACTATCATCAGCATATGACTCATTCATGCATAGTTGATTCTTTAAAAAAAAAAAATCATATAAAAAAAATTTGAACACAATAATTAAAAAATAAAGGAATAAAAAGAACATATTTCACTAAAAAGAACATATCTCACTAAAAAGATCATCAGGAATTATGTTACTCACAAAGGCATTGTTTGCAAAGAAAATCCTTTTTTTATCATCAACAGAATTCCTTGAATTGAGGATTAATGCCCAAGCATCAATAATATCAGTGTATAAATACACATTGCCCCCAAGTGTTCTGAATATTTCTCTTGTCAAATTTGTATGCCCATCATCATACATCCATTCACTAGGAAAACAATATGAAATTGTATAAGTTAAATATAAACAAGAGAAAATGATAGTATATACTGCTCTTTAATATGTACCAAACTTACTCGTCATCGAGTTCTGGGGCATATGCATACTCTAATATAGCATGCTCAAACTCTTTTGTTCCTTCTATCATATGAGAATATTTTACAAGGTAAGGTGACTTGTAAATATATGCCTCCTTTCTAACCCTTTTGACAGCTTTAGGGGATCCACTATAAAAAAAATAAAAAAAAAATAAAAAAATTGCAAACTATCATAAGTTAAAGAACATTCATATATATTAACAAAAAAAAAAGAACATTTAATATTTTTTATACAAAAAAAAAAACATTTAATATAAATTATAAAGAACATTTGCCACAATCAAAATGAACATGCTTACTGAAAAGTTTAATAATACTATTAAAAAGATCATCCACTTAAAAGTTTATTTATAACATGCACACTGAAAAAAACATTCATGATACATATCTAAAGAACATTTATAACATTGAAAAAGAACAACAACTAAAAAGAACATTCATAATACATAAAAAGAACATTTCACTAAAAAGAACATCCATAATATATAAAAGAACATGCACACTGAAAAAGAACATTCATGATACATAAAAAGAACATTTCACTAAAAAAATCATCTATAATATATAAAAGAATATGCAAACTACAGAAGAACATTCATGAAACATAAAAAGAACATGCACACTGAAAAAGAACATTTCATAATACATAAAAGTTCATCATACAAAAAAAGTCTTTACCAATCTTCAACCAGAGTTTCTTTTCCTTTTTTCAAATTCTTCTTAGTTATCTCCATTGACTCAATTTTCTTCTTCTCTTTTTCTTCATCTTTTTCCAGAATTTGTGTTTCAACCCTTTCTTTTGCAATTGTTTTCTCTGCCTTTTCTTCCCTTTGTTCATTTTGTCCTTCTTCCATGCTTTTGTCATTCACCCTTATAACACTCAAAAAGAATATAAGAACATATATAAAGTAAATAAAAGAACATACAATACTTACTCAAATAAAAAACATAATTTAATAGATAAAAGAACATAATTAATAAAAAAAAGAACATGCTTATAAATAAAAGAACATGAATGTACTTTCACAAGAGTCAAAGAACAAACAATACCAAACAAAAAGAACATGCATATAAATAAAAGAACATGAATGTTCTTTCAAAAGTGAAAAGAACATACAAAAGTTAAATAAAAAACATATTCTTTCAAGAGTCAAAGAACAAACAATACCAAACTAAAGAACATTTTTATTAAACAAAAACAACATATAAAGTCAAACTAAATAACATATTCTTTAAATAGTCAAAGAACAAACAATATCAAACTAAAGAACATATTTATTAAACAAAAAGAACATACTTATAAATAAAAGAACATGAATGTTCTTTCACAAGTGAAAAGAACATACAAAAGTCAAATAAAGAACATAAACCTGTTCATCATAATAATATTACACATTAATAATTCAAATAATACATTTCTGAATAAACAAATTGCATAATTAAAAGTCAGTATTTGAGTCAGTTAGTTACCCCATCGTTTGATTACTCATGACTTGGTCCATTGCATTGGACTCCAATTGTTGCTCGGTGAAGTGTGAATCATATTGAGAAATGTCATCAAAAGCCTGATCACCCATATTGATTGTACTTGACATGCTTAACCCAAGTGTAAGCATTAGGTCACATGATGATTCAGGCAATGTGGTGGTTGGAGTAATGACATTAAATACAATTGGTTCAAGTGTGGATGATTGAGTTCTCTCCTCCTGAACTCCAGTATCTTCAACACTCATATTGTCACCAAATTCCTTGGTGTTTTCCTAAAAACCATCCATCTTGATAACATTATCTACCATTTCACCAAACCAGTCAGAGGCAAAGAAATCAGTGTCCTGACTAAGAATAGAAGTCCCTTCTTCTCGCTGTGTAGGTATATTTTTCTGATTTTCTTGGGAAAATTTGATTCCAGAACATTTTGCCCACATTGTACTCACATTTAATAATGTGGTGTCTACATCAAGTGTGTTACCATGGAACCTCTCCCCTAATTTTAAAACATTTGAGAGGTTCACAAACCCTTCAGCAATTCTCTCTGTTGCCTGACGAAGCAATAGAGTATATTCCTAAAAGATGATGAAGTATATCATGCATACATTAGCAGAAGAATATATTGAATATATTCAACAAAGTATAGAACATGCGATGAAAACGAAAAGTTTATATTGTACCTGCAAATTTGTAGGTTGATGCTGATGTTGTTGTTGCTCTTGATGCTCATGTTGTTGATGTTGTTGTTCATGTTGTTGCTCTTCTTGTGGTTGTTGCTGCTGCTGTGGTTTTTGTTGTTGTTGTTGTTCCTGCTGCTGCTGTTGTTGTTGTTGCTTCTGCTGTTGTTGTTGTTGCTGTTGCTGTTGTTGATGTCCTTCAACATCTTCAATGGCTAAGACTTGGCTAATTTCTGGGGCTTTGATTCTATCCAAAACTGTGCCAATCCCAAAGCCATTTGTTACCTCAAGATTAACCCTTTCCTTGATCATATCACCATTCCACTCTTTGACAAGAGGAATTTCTCTTGGAAAACTTGATGTACCCCGTTTAAGGCGATCAAAGTAGCAAATCTACATAATTAAAGAATGAAACAAATGATAATCTACAAATACATTCATAATAATTAAAAAGAACATAAAATTAAAAAAAACATCCACAATTTATAAAAAGAACATCCAAATATTTAAAAAGAACATCCATAATGAAAGTTAAAAAGAACATCAATCTAAAAAAAGAACATCCATAATGAGAGTTAAAAAGAACATCAAACTAAAAACAATCATCCAAAATATATATAAAGAACATCCATAATGAAAGTTAAAAAGAACATTAAACTAAAAAAGAACATCTAGAATGTGAGTTAAAAAGAACATCCATAATGAGAACATCTATAATGAGAGTTAAAAAGAACATCCATAACGAGAGTTAAAAAGAACATTAAACTAAAAAAGAACATCCAGAATTTATAAAAAGAACATTCAGAATATATAAAAAGAACATCCAGAATGAGAGTTAAAAAGAACATCAAACTAAAAAAGAACATCTAAAATATATAAAAAGAACATTTAAAATATAACTTAAAAAGATCATCAAACTAAAAAGAACATCAAGAAAATATAAAAAGGAACATCCAACATTTATTAAAAGAACATCTAGTACATAAATAATGAAATAAATGATAAACTACAAACTTATTATAAATAATAAAAACTACATATGAAAGTACAAAAAAGTACATATGTACATTAAGAATATTTACTGTAACAAATGGCAATGGTCCAAGAAAGAATCTTTTTCTATCTCCCTTCCAGTAAATAGTCATCTCCTTCAAGCTCTCTACTGTATAGGAAGACCAGTCAAATTTTGATATTTTGTTGGTGTCAGCTGCTGTGTACATGAACCTATCATAAAAAAGCAACAACTAATAAGATAAAGAACATGATTGTATAAAAAGAACACAAACTTTATAGAAAAAGAACATAAACATTAGAGAAAAAGAACACTAACATTAGAGAAAAGAACACTATATTTTTACCTATAAAAAGGCTGTGTGTTAGACACAGACTTGATGCAGGAATTCACTACAATAAGTAAGAAACTCCTCTTCCAATTATCATCAAGGGGAGTGTCTGGATTACCTAACTTTCCAGCTAAATCTGTTAAGTTTGGAATACTCCCATCACTATATGCTTTCACTTCTTTCATCACCTCAAGTAAAACTTCATCCTCAAGGGCAGCATCTTTTATCTCTTCACCTCCAATTGGTAAACCATATACCAGGTGGGCATCAATGGGTTGTATATCAATTTTCTTATTTTTATCACATAAGAAATAGAGACCATCAACTTCCAAGTTCTCCACAAGTGTGGCTGAATACTTAGGGGTGCCCTTTGGCATATCAAGATGCAAGAAACCGCCAAACCCCATATTTTCAATGGCTTGCAACTTGTCCTCCTGTTTTGTGCTCTGCAAAGTTTTTACCAAATTTTGTAAAGGCTTAACAATGTGCCTTTGCTTCAACTCTAAATCCTTTATTTGTACTATAGCCACTTTTTGTTCATCTTCCTTATCATCCTTTGTTTTCATTCTCTTGTTTTTTGGTTTTGGCACACTTACTATTGTAGATTCAGCCTTTGATTGTGAAATTGATTATGAAACACCAACTTCATGTTTCTCCATAACTCGGAACATAGGCTCTCCCAATGGTGCCCTCCTTTTCCTTAATACAATTTTTCTTCCACCACTTTCCTCCACTATACCTTCTTCTACAACTTTATCAGTAGCTGGTTTCCTAGCTGGTTTAGCTGGTGCAGTCTTCCTGATATTTTTTATACAAAAAAATAAAACATTTAATATAAATTATAAAGAACATTTATCACAATCAAAATGAACATGCTTACTGAAAAGTTTAATAATACTATTAAAAATATCATCCCACTTAAAAGTTTATTTATAACATGCACACTGAAAAAAACATTCCATGATACATATCTAAAGAACATTTATAACATTGAAAAAGAACAACAACTAAAAAGAACATCCATAATACATAAAAAGAACATTTCACTAAAAAGAACATCCATAATATATAAAAGAACATGCACACTGAAAAAGAACATTCTTGATACATAAAAAGAACATTTCACTAAAAAAAATCATTTATGATATGTAAAAGAACATGCAAACTAAAAAAGAACATTCATGAAACATAAAAAGAACATGCACACTGAAAAAGAACATTTCATAATACATAAAAAGAACATTTCACTAAAAAGATCATCCATAATATATAAAAGAACATACAAACTACAAAATAACATTCATGAAACATAAAAAGAACATGCACACTGAAAAAGAACATCAATACTTTTTCTTGGTAGCAATTTGTTTGAAACGATAATCTTTCTTCTTTTTTCCTTTGCCTTTCAATTCTTGGGGTTGTGAAGGATCTTCAGTCTTGACTTCTTTTGGTTCTTCTTCTTCATCCCTTCATTTATTTTTTCAAATTATGTATTAATTTAAATAATAAAAGAACAAGAACATACCCAAATCTTAAAAAGAACATTATTGAAATTATGTTAACCAAAAAGAACATCAAAATATATAAAATTTTAGTGACCCTACCAACCAGATCTACAATTTATAATAAAGTTTAAATGCCATTGAATTTTTCAATAACCAAAAAAGGACCAGAACAACATGAATATTCTAGATAATGATACTTTAACTTACTTGGGAATATCCTGTACCATAGTTTCTATGGATCTTAGGATTTGGGGGTCCACAATTGGTTCCATATCATCATGTTTCTTTTTACTCACATTTCCTTTTACATTAAACAATTCACAAAGAGGTAGAGATTCCTCATCCTGTTCTTGTAATTTACTGTAAAATAATTACAAAACAACAACATGAAACCAACTGAAAATTCAATAATTTCAAAACCAATATAAAAATCGAAAAATTGACAAGTTAAAAAATAACCTTTCTTGGTTTTCCTCCAATTGTTGTTCTTCTTTCTCCTCCAATTGTTGTTCTTCTTTCTCCTCCAATTGTTCTTTTGGAACATCTTGTACTTCTTTGCTTTAATCATTTAAAAACCCAAAATGAACAAAATTAAACATTTTAAACACCAAATTATTGACGAAAAACTGATTGCATGTACAAAATTATTACTTACACTTCACTAGAATCCACCATTTGTTCAAATTTGAAAGTTTAATTGTTGAAATTAGAACAATTAATCCTAGATTTTCACTTTGAATATGACGGTTTTACGGTTTTAATTTAAAAAATAGAAAAAAGATAGAGAGAAAAGATCTAGAGAGAGAGAGAAAATATCTAGAGAGAGAAAAGATTACTTGTGAAATGATTTAACTCACAATAATTACCAAAAAAGGTGGGCCATGTGTCAGTTATTTTCCGAAAAAAAAGTAACCCACCTTTCCATTTCTCGCGTTCTTTTTAACCAACTCTTTATGTTCTTTTATTAACCCATGTTCTTTACAATCCTTCTTAATGTTCTTTCCGCCTTTTTAACTTCGCTAGGGGTCTGCGTTTTATGTTTTAGCGTATGTCGTTTTGATCATGGTGCACCCGGGTGCACCAACCAATAATTACATATTGCATGCATTAGTTTCTGTACAATAATTGTGGTGTATGTGAATGTTCATTCAAAGTATAGTAAGGCATATTTACAACTTTGATGGAAAATTAGAAAGACATATTTATATTCCAACGGGCTTATAATTATGATGAAATTATATATGACGTTGATCTAATATTATTTATGAATCATGTAAGAAAAGTTCCCGAAGAACTTATATGCAACGTATTTATGCCCTACAAATTTTATATCTTGAATATTGCAATTATTATCAAAATCTTGAATAGTCTGTGTGACTACATCATTGACATCTCAACCTAAAGTTTGAGCATATGAAAGTTAGTGAGATTTTCTTTTTGTATTTACAAGAGAGCTATCGTGTCAATTATGAAACGTTTATGAATAGTCTAGAGTTTATTGAGATTTGCTTTTTGTAGTTGCAAGAGAGCTATCGTGTCAATAAAGAGTATCAATGGAATACTTATGTGTGAGAATGTTTTCTTATGGTCCAGAAGAACCATGATTAGCGTATCTAATTACATGTGTTATATTATAATTCAGATGAGATTGAAGAACGACATTAATAATATCAAGTTTTGTCATCAAATTATTATTAATAAATGTTTGATCAAATAATGATCATCGATTTCTATTATTCACGACCTCCAGAAGAAGGCCTAACCGCATAAGTTTAACTTTTAAATAACTTTATTCAAATAGAGGTTTGGAATGATGTAGAGATAAATACATGTATGGTGAAATGAAGACAGTTCACATGTTCACTTGAAGACTTGAAGATGCAATTTCAGTTTAGGAGGATCGAAGACCAACGATTGATATTTTACTACATATTAGAAGATATCCAACTATATTGGATTCATTGTTGCGGCACTAGAAGATCTCAAATTATGTATTTATCAGGAGGAGAAAATACGCGCTGCACTCTTTTTCCCTAGACCATGGTTTTGTCCCACATTAGGTTTTCCTGGTAAGGTTTTTTATGAGGCGGCATCTCGAGCATATTACGAAGAATGTTGTACTCTTTTTCCTTCATTAGGTTTTTATCCCACAGAGTTTTTCCTAATAAGGTTTTAACGAGGCACACTCTTGATAATGGACATCCAAGGGGGAGTGTTATGAAATATTGTGCGGATATCCATTATCCTCCTTTTATCATTTCGGAATATTCTAGATCTAGGGTTTATTATTATCTAAGTAAACCCTTGTTATATTGTATGTATATATATCCCCCACTCTATGGAATAAGAGAGACTGATTTATTCTCTCCCCAATTTCTCTCCTATCTCTCTTTATTTTCTCTTCCATATTTAACAACTACCTCTTTTTTATAATAATTGACACGTTAAACTTTTTTCACTATTCACAACCTAGCTTTGACTATAGATATTTAGTAACGTATGAAAATAGATTTTATCTTGAAATATGTTGTTACATACAGTACTGTAGGAATTAAAACAAAGTTTAATAATAACTTCTTAATTACTTTTACTAATATTTATTTGTATATATATTTATATGTATTTATGGTCAAACGAGGTCATTGGAAGGTGGGCCAAGTTTTACTGTATCTAGGGGTGTTCAAAAATTGGTCTGGATCGAAAAATGGACCAGACCAAATTAATCGGTCCGGTCTCTGGGTCGAGAAATTTGTTTTTTCGGTCTTCGGTCCGGTCCAAAACCCTATAAAAACCGGTCTTGGATCGGACCAGTTTTTTGCTTAAAATTATACATAAAACCTTTAATAATAATTAAGATTATCCTTAGCAAGCTTGGAAAACTTTAGTCGTATGAGCTATTTTATACCAAACATATAAAAAAAGACGTTAAAATAATGTTTTTCTTTTAATTTTTTCGAGTTTTCCATAAATTATTTAAAATTTAGGAAATTTTTTTTATAAAAATTCTAAAACCGGTCCAAACTGGCCCGGTCTGGGTTTTGGACCGATTTTTACGGTTCGGTCCTAGCTTAATCGGTCCGGTCTTCGGTTCTTGAAATTCAATTTTTCAGTCTTCGGTCATGAACATCCCTAACTGTATCAATAAGGCCTGATACATGAATACAACCTTGTTTAGTTTCTATTTTTACTCATTTCAGAAAAAAAAGAAAAAAAAAAGTTATGATCAGAAAAAATAAATTCAGATCAGATCAAATTAGAAAAAATAAGATCTGATCATATTATCGTTTAAAATTTAATTTTTTATCGCTAAATATCTTTAATTTCATAATGAAAAAATTTATGAAAATTATATACTAACAATATACACATTATATTCTTTCAAAAAAAAAATATACACATTATTAAGAATCTAACAAGACCCCACTTAATATATTTTTTCTTTATAAATTATCGTAAACTTAAGATTAATGTTTGATCAAATCAGACAATTAAATCAAATTAGATCAAACCATATTAAATAAGTTTAGATAAGCAAACATAAGGTGAACTAAACAAGCCTTTACTCTGACCGATGGACTATTAAAGACAAGGATATTTAGTTTACGACTTGACGTTAAAAACGCAGCCAAGTTGAACAATAACACAACAACTTGGGCAGTACCCGTGTGACTTGCTCATTATTTTACCCAATAAATAAATTTCGTATTAATGTTTTCGTATTATTGCCTCCTCTAGGCTCTAGTAGTCACTTCTATCTTCGTTATTTAGCAGTCTCAGCTTTCTTTATAAATAACCAAACCTCTCACCTTTTATCCCCCTCTTTCTCATATCTACTTTTGCAAAGCCAACCTTAAAAAAAAGTAGTTGAATGTTGAAGATTAGGTGTTGAACATAATGTGCGGTGGCGCTATTATCTCCGACCTCATCGCCGCCAAGCGCGGTCGCAATCTCACCACTCACGATCTCTGGTCCGAGCTCGATGCCGACCTTCTTTCCTCTTTTCCTCCTAAATCTAAATCATCGCCCCCTTCTCAACCAACGCTTACCCCTCAAAGAGGTATGTTTTTTTTTTATTTTTTTTATTTCCTCCAAAGAGTATATTTGTATATATTGTTTATTGTATTTTTGTAGTTTTACTTTTGTTTTGTAACATAAAATTAAGGTCTCCATAAACTAAAAGATAGTTTGTATTGCACCAAAAAAATAAAATAAAAAATAAAGATGGTTTGTGAGTTCATTATAAAACTATGCGTTGATGATGGATTTTATTAATTTTGTTTTGGTTATATGGATTTAATTTTCTTTCCTACTTTTATTTTGGTTTATATTGATAGTTAATTAATTTTGTGGTAAAATTTTCAAACATTTCCCGATAATTATTATTATAATATAAGTATAATGCTAGTTCGTATTAACTTTATATAAACATTAAATCTAGGAAAGTTTGTGTGAAAGGACATTTTAAGTGATCGATTTTGTTTAAAAGGATCTTTTAAGTGAAAATTTGTGAAAAATGACCTTTTAAGTTGTATTATAGTGTGGGCTTTTTTTAAAAAAATTACGTGACTCATGAGATTCAACTCCGGAGCTCCGCCGTTGACCACCCGAAAAAGTTAGTCTAGTACCCCTCACAGAAAAAAAATATTGTGAGGAATACTAGGCTAATTTTTTCGGGTGGTCAACGGCGGAGCTCCGAGGTTAAATCTCATGAGTCACGTGATTTTTAAAAAAAAAGCCCACATGTTTTTTTAAAAAATATGAAAGGGGGAAAATTGAAAAAGGGGTAATTCAAAAATAAGGGAAATTTGGGAGAAAATAAAAATATGTGGGCTTTTTTTTAGAAGTCATGTAACCCCCACGTGAGAGTCAACGTCGGAGCTCCGCTGTTGACCACCCGGAAAACCTAGCCTAGTATCCTCTTACAACATAATATAAACTTAAAAGATCCTTTTTTACAACTTTTCACTTAAAAGGTCCTTTTAAACAAAATCGTTCACTTAAAATGTCCTTTTACACAAATCATCCTTAAATCTATTTTTATGAAATGGTTTCCGTATAAATTAAAGCATTCCCGTATAATAAGTTAATGTTCTTCATTTATTAAATTTGTCCATTCCCGTATAATATGTATACGTCAAATATTTTCCTTTTTAGATACTCTTATAATAATTCGTTTTAGGTGCAAATTACACAAGAAATTACGTTAAATATTTATTTTTTTGGGTGCAAATTACGTTAAATTAATAATGTTTTAATTATTAATTTATTTTGGCGCAAAAAAATACAGTATTTCAACATGATGTCGACACAACTTTCGATAGCCGAGATGAAACAGTACATGCCATTGAGCTGATAAGATAACAAAATACATTATCATTATTATCATTATCATTACCATTATTGGTTTTTTGTTTTTTGTACAACAAACAAAGAGAGAGTACTTTAATATGTTTGCTTCTTGTTCAAAGTTCATACATTGATGCATGAATTTCAATTCGTGTCAGGTGATAGAACTAAAGAATCAACAAAACCATTAATCAACCAAATTATACTCACTTCGTATAAATAAATGAAGAATTGATGATCATATTATGTATAGAAATGGACAAATTTAATTTATTAATATGAATCTGACATAAGATGTTGTCATGTAGATCACTTTGTCATGAATTTGTTAGGTTCGCCGTTTGATGGGGTGAAAACTCATCAGGAAGATGTCAACCGAGCAGAGCGAGTTGCAAACCCGAGTCAGACTCCGCGAACTCGGAAGAATGTATACCGAGGAATAAGACGGCGCCCGTGGGGTAAATGGGCGGCCGAGATCCGAGACCCGCGTAAAGGCGTTCGGGTCTGGCTCGGCACTTTCAACTCCCCTGAAGAAGCTGCCCGTGCTTATGATGCCGCCGCGAAGAAGATTCGCGGCGACAAGGCCAAGCTCAACTTCCCAGACACCCCACCACTACCACCGTCTCCATTGCTGACGGCACCGTTGGAGGAGATCTTCCTACCTGTTGCAAAGAGGCAGCGCATATCGGATTTCACCGAGTCGTCAACCCTTAGCAATGAGTCGACTCAGATGCCAATGATGAGTATGGGATTCTACGGAGATGGGGTGGACCATCTTACTTCAGAAGAGGATTTTGTGAATGGGATGAATAATAATGACCTGAGTCAGCAAATATTAGACCTTGAATCTTTGCTTGGGCTGGACCACGGGGTTGAACTCGCTGAGTCGGACTCAACGAGTTTGCCCTGGGTCATGGACGAGTTCCCTATGATTAATGGTTATGATTAATACAACAATAAATTTGTGTTATGATTTAGATGCCACTTTACTTTAATTAATGTCACGTATAAACGTTAATGTAATGTTTTAAGACCTTTTAGTTTGATAATTTCTACTTTGTACATAAAGTTAGTAGTATCTTAGCTTGTGATAATTGCTTCTTTGCCCAAATTAAACTAATACTCCTTTGTTTGGAATTAATTATCATGTTAGTGCTCAAGATTATATTATTAACGGGATCTTATAACTGAATTGAAGTTAGCGTTAATGCTAAATAAAACAGCAACTTTTGTGAATAAAAAAAAAATGTAATATGCATGTTTCAGTAATTTTGTTTCGAGTAATTGCATGCATGTGTAAAGATATGTACTCCGTGTTACAGAGTCACAAACTTTCATATGTAGCTGGCCACACGATGTGACCAACTATAATTTTTTTTTTAAAAAATAAAATAAAATCTTACACCACAAGTCTTTTCTCTCTCCTCTTCTCTTCTTCTCCAAGCCAGTCTCAGACCACACATTTCCAACAATCGTACCCCTGCTCCACCCAATTTTTCTCTCCTCTTTGCCAAAAAGAACGGGCAATGCATAAAAAGTTGTTGCCGTTTGTAATGCCGATATCAAATGAGTTGGAAAAGAATTACTTGGACTCTTCGATATATCCAGATTTTAAGATTCAAGCCATCAAATGCTGATATGCACCCGCTGCACCTTGCTAATTTTGACCCTGTCCACAATCTTTCTTCTTCGACTATATCAGTTCTTGCTGATGGCCGATTTTTTGCTGTTAATTGGCGTGGGTTTTGCGGGTTGTGAGGTAGGTGGGATGTGTGAGATAGAAGAAGGTTGTTGCGGTGGTCAGGCGCGATGGAGAAGCTGCTGTGAGGTGCGAAGGTGCTGGCTGCTACAACTTGTTTTGATTGGGGTTTTTTGTTGTTGGTTGTTTTGATTTGAAGCAGGGTATTAGGGTTGAAGGTTGGAGAGAATTTTGTTTTGGGTTACTTGGTCATGGGTTATTAGATCGGTCAGAGGTTACTAGGTCGGTCGGGGGTTACTTGGTTAGGGGTTACTAGGTCGGTCAGCGATTACTAGATTGGTGATCAGGGGTTACTAGGTCAGTCAGGAGTTACTAAGTCGGTCAAAAATTACTCAGTTAGCAATTACTAGACGAGTGAGAAGTTGCTTGATCAGGGGTTATTTGTGTGTTAGCTGGTCACACGGTATGATCAGTCACACACAAAACCTGTTGTTACAAAGTTGCTTTAAAAAATAGGGGGCAGCTATCAATTTGTGTTTGATTTTGTTTTGAGTTAATTGAAGCAAACGGCTTTTGTCAGTTCGTACACCTGTCCACACAATGATTTTTGGCCAACATAGTTAGTCTTATCTTTTTTTTTTTTTTTTTTTTGAAAGAAAGTTAGTCTTATCTTTATTTTTCTTATGTTTTTTATTTTTTATTTTTTTGTAAAAAACATATAAGAAAAATCTTTGAGCTTATCTTGCTCTTAATTTTACAAAATAAAAATTGAAAATAAAATGTAAAGTATTATCAATTTGTCAACTAAAATGTGACTTGTTAACTTACCAGATTATCCCATGTGCGATGCACAGTTTTAATAAAAAAATCATAGTATAGAACTCGTATATACAATGAATCTTTTTAATTTTGTCATAAATTCATTGGAAGGAGATTTTTTGAAAGAAATATAGTTTGAATATTTCAGGAAACTTCTGGACGTTTGAATATTAATGTTAAGGACTTGAGGAGAGGGAATGATAGATCTTTAAATCAAAAGAAAAGAATACAGTTGCTATTCAATTTACTATACTTCGGTTTTCAAGATTAAAGTTATTGAAAGAACTTAATTAGCTTGTTTACGAAGTATCATACAAAAGAAAAAAAAATCCTTTAAAAAAAAATTATAACTATCACAAAATAATGACATCATCAATGGTTTTAGGCGAGAAAAAATTTCATATAAAGCGACATCTATACAGTTTTGAAGAGAAATGATGTCACCAATGTTTTATTTTAGTAATAGTTAATATATTTCACTATTGTATTAGTCTTTGCATGTACGATGAACCCATCCATTGACAACTATTTCTATGAATGAGTAAGTGAATATATTTGTGTGAAAATAAAAAAAATTATCTTAGAGGCATGTTTATGACCAGGGGCGGAGCTAGAAGGGGACGAGTGGGGACACTTGTCCCCCCATTTTCAAAAAAAAATTAAAAAAAAAAAATTTAAAAAAAAAAACAAAAAAACGCAATTACAGAGTGCTCTGTGCGACATTTGCAGCCAAACCCTAAGTCTTTCAATTTTTAATTTCTCTCTCTTCGATTCGCCCTCACCTCGCCAGAGTCGCCTGACGCTGTCCACCGTTCTCCGGCAGTTCGCAGCAGTGAGGCCAATGACGAGGTTCGACAGATGACAGCGCACAGCGGACAACCTTCAATTCCGTTCGACAGTCACCAAAATTAAAAAACCAAAGTCCTGTCTGTCGCTCGGTCGCTGCCTGCCAAACCCCTCATCGTCGTCGGTCGTCCGTCAGTCGCCAGTCGCCGCCTCGGTCATCTTCTGGTTTTCGCTGCATCTAAAGGTATGTCTTAACTCTTAAATATATTAATTTGTTCTTCTAATTGAAAATTTGAAATCCCCAATTTGCAATTTTAATTGTTAACCCAATAACCCTTTCTTTCTCCCCATACTTTACTTATTTTCTGAGGCTATATATTCTGAAAAGGGTATCGGAATTTGTGTCAAATATTGAAGGGGATTTGTTTTGGTCTTTAAATGGGGTTGGTGCTCCTGATTTGATCTTTATTTATGTGCCTGAAGGGTGCCGAGTTGATGCCCCTTTAAATTTGAGGTCTTTCTCACTGAAAGGGAGTGATGCCGAGTCGAATATGTTGCCGGTTTCGAACCCGAGAGTATTGGTGTTGATAGAAGGGAGGAGAGGTGGGTATAGTTGAGGTGTTTTTAGGTGGAGATGGTAACAAGTGTTATTGGACTAATTATGTTCTTGAGGTGATCATCGGTGAAGGAGCAACATTTAGCCATTTTTATGTACAAACACAATCTTTGGGAGCTGCCCATATTAAATGGACTTCCATTAGGCAAGTATATTTGGTTCTGCTTTTATTATGTTTTTGTTGATTAAGTGTCATTATGTGCAACACTTTAGATTTTGTGATATCCTTTGCTTATAATCCTGTTAGTGCATTATCATGTGATTGCTTATACTTCTATTCTTGTTGGTGCTTTGGTATATCAGGATTAAATACATTATAATGCAACTGTCTTCGCTTTTATATTATATCCATAATTTGTCCCCCCAATTTGAAAATCCTGGCTCCGCCAGTGTTTATGACGACCGGTCTCTTTGGCTGAAAAATAACTAATGTAACCTAAGAAAACATATGAACTATATGAATGCCATCTAGACCAGGTTTTTCAGTAACAGGTCATAGATTTTAACAAGAAAAAGTTTGGTGAATTGGTATCTAAGAGACTGGTTGGAGTTTATAGGCGGCTGGTCTCTTTGTTATAAGCTTTTTTTTCTTTTTAGATGGAATGGGGTACAAGCCGTACAGTGGTACCTCTATATACTCATGGATCTGCCGACTCATACCGATTATATATTGTATAAAATAAAGTTTCTTGTGATTTTTTTACAGGCTTATATTTAGGTTAAGTGGCTCCTTCTCTGTTTAGATCCCCAAAATTAAAATTTGATTTTATTTTTAAGGTAAGCAGGGTCCACACAACCCTTCTTATCATAGGAGGAATATGTGGGTGGGAGTGCCCGAGGTGTGACTCTATCCCAGGTCTAAGCTACAGAAACGGGGAGTGGCTCCATTGAGCTATCACTCCCAAACATCAAAATTAAAATTTGATGTATCGTACATAGATTTTTTTTTTAATATAAAAAAGATTGATTTGTAAATAAACCGTCAAACGACATCTACAATTGCATAAGTTGTTAATCGTGATTATATTGGTGATCTTATAATAATTAAATCTTATAATCCTGATTTTAAGACTAAATTTCGTTGCTTGGGGAAGACTCAACTACTCAAATAGGTGATATATGGTCAAAATCTGTCCCAACATTTTGACTCAATTTAATCTCTCTACGTTGTGAAATATTCACATAATCCACTTCCACCGTAATTAGTTGTATACACAAATAAAATAAATAAATAAATAAAAACATAAATACAGTACTAGTCTCAATACATGTTTGTTTCCGGAATAGATTCATAAACTAAAAACGGAAGAGCTACGATTTTTCAACTTGCATCTTTACTCCCTACCCAATATTTGTTCAGTCACAACTTACAAAGTTACAAGACTATAACTATTGGAAATGCTCTAAGTACTAAAAAGTACATAATCATCTCAGGAATTCGCGCCGAGTAATTTCATTGCAGTGCGAAATCAACATCACTACGATCATATCATAACGTACAAGAAATAAACATTAGCTAAGATCACGAAATAATATATACGTGATAGTACTTAATTGACAATTGACATACAACTGAATTTACACAATTTGCGCAATTGCTCAATTTGATATTAATAGAACTTCCTTTAATCAGGTTGTTAGAAAAGAGAACAAAATTGGTGACCCAACATATAAAAAATAAGAAAAAAACAAATCATGTATATTTAGGGGTGTCAATTCGGGTAAACAGGTCGGGTTTGAGTTGGGTTTATCAGTTTCGGGTTATAACGGGTCAGTTTATAACGTGTTGAAATGATTAGCGGGTCGATTTGGGTCGGTTATGAAAATCATTGGGTCAGTTCGGTTTGATTTTTTTTTTATTGCGCTTTCTATTCGGGTCGGGTCATAATCAGTTTGGGTTGAACCGGGTCAATTTGGAAACGGGTTTAGCCAGTTTAAAGTGGGTTTCGGTTCAAAACAGTTCGGGTCCTAATTGGGTCGGGTTGTAATTGGTTCGGGTCATAATCAGTTTGGGTTAAACTAGGTCGGTTTGAAAATGCTTTTCGGTTCAAAACAGATCGGGTGAAATCGGGTCCGGTCATAATCGGTTTGGATTGAAATTGGTCGGTTTGAAAATGGGTTTACCCAATTTAAAGCGGGTTTTAGTCCAAATCATATTGGGTTAAAATGGAGTCGGATCATTATCGAATTGAGTTAGTCAGATAATGGGTAGGAACCGGTCATATTATAATCAAGTTAAGTCATAAATAAGTTAGGTTTATCGAGTAGTGGGTTGAAAAGGATCAAATCATAAACATATTGGGTTGCGGATTGTAAACGACTAAGTCATAACAGGTTACCGGTCGTAAATAGTTCGGTCTCAATGCGTTACGGGTCGTAAAAGTTCAGTCTCAACGGGTTACGGATTGGAAACGGTTCGGTCTCAACGGGTTACAGGTTACAAATGGTTCGGTCACAACGGGGTACGGGTTGGACCGGTTCAGGTTTATCGGATTTTTGCTGGGTTTAAACGGTTTTCGGTTTAAAATGGGTCGGGTTACTATCGAGTTCAGACGTAATCGGTTCGGGTTGTTGTCAGTTTTGGGTTGTAACGGTTTGGCTTGATAACAAGTCGGGTTAGTAACGGTTCGCACAAATTCGGTTCAATTCAATTTCGAGTTAGAAAAAATTGGGTCGGATCGGTTTTCGGTTTCTAAAAAATGGGTTTTTAACGATTAAGTTCCTTTTCGAATCAGTTGAAAATAGTCGGGTTTAACGGTTCGGGTTAGAGACTGAAAGTTGTATGTATATCAGCTTATGGAAAGATGCATGAACCAAATGATTGAAAATTTTATAGTGGAGCTTTCAGTATCAGCCACTAGTCCATATATTACGATAATTCGTCACGTATTAGTACTCAATCATTCATTTATATTAAATTATTGATTATTTTTCTTCCTATTTTTTATTCTGTTATTGAAAGAGATCATATTGTTGAGCGAATAGTGGTTGATTGTTAGATTCTTATTAAGCATATGTCAAAAAAAAAAATATATATTGAAGATGTTAACGTTTTCAATCCTGTTGTTGTAGTTGGTGAAAAATCTAATACTTCGTACAAATTCTCCTAGTCATGCTGTTTGATTACATTTGAAAGATTAACAACGGAATTCAATGTCCGTTTCTAAAATGATACTTCATTTGTTTTTATATACGCGCTTAGTTTTAAAATGCATTGTGGTTAATATATGGAAACTAATAAATTATTGTACAAATGGAGTTAAATAGAGATATATTTCTTTTTTTTTTTTTTTTTGACAAGTAAATAGAGATGTATTTGATGTTTGTGGGAGAGTGCAACAATAAAGAATTAATGCATACTGCATTATTAAAAGAGGTAAACACTAATAATGATCCAATGTGAAATTAGATTGTGTTGTAAATTGTAAGTATTCGATTATGGACAAATTGTCCTTCGATTAATGAAGACGCTATTCTTATTACCTCTTATAAAAAACACACATAAAAATAAAATAAAAATAATTAAATAAATAAAAGGTTTACCTTGATTTCCAACTTTTAATTAGAGAGATACAGCAATGGGTATGAAGTTGGATAAAGGGATACAATACCTATCTTTACATACTCAGTTCATACAAATGTCGTTGCTACCAAGCTCCTGGTTTAGGTTTTCAACCATGTAAATAACAGAAGCTATTACGATTTTACAATGAGAAGCTATTACGATTTTACAATGAAACTCTACTGTAGCAGAGATTTACAAGCTGACAAAAGGGGGTATTGCATAAGAGGATGGCATGTAGCTGATAGCATCCTCTGTATAATTTAGTTTACATGCTGGATGCTGTATGGCTGAATCACTAGCACCAAAATTTCGTAGTTGAATGGATCAGAAGAATCAACACCTTGCCTCCGCAAACCACTACAGCAAATTCAACTAAATGGAGTAACCTGGAATCACAAGCCGGCTTATTAAACGACGAACTTGAAGTCCCTTTTCAATCTCAATGACACTTTGACATCCATAGTAGCTTCTGATTTGTTTAAACTTCAGCTTCGCTGTGGTTGCTCATCTTGTAGTTTTAGTCTTAGGCGAGCTCACAATTCTGGTCAATTTGAGGTGAATCCAGATAAATTGATTTATCCTAATTAGCTGCTATGCTAGTTGATATATATGCTGTAACACAATTACACAAAAAAGAGCATAAGCGTCATGTTAATGAAGGGTATGGATTAGAAGGAAGCACACATTAAGTGGATACCTGAAATATGTATAGTATACACATGATCACAAGCCATACCGCCTTAGAACTTTACTCAAAGTTGGCATCACATTGTAGGCCTGGTAGGACCTTCTCAGATCAATAATAGAACCCACCTACAACACAATAGTAGCTACAAATTAAAACTTGTGGAAACATCCTGAAATGAACTGATGCATGAAAAATTGCAAAACAAACACTAAATAATACAGAATATGGAAATATGTAAAAATTAGCAAAATGATTAAAAAGTAGAAGGAATACTTCAGCAGGTCAGCTAGAATTTAGCTGAGAGAGAGAGAGAAGTACACAACATAAAATTTCGAAAGCCATCCTGTACCAGATTAATAATTGTTCACATTTTAGTCCTATAACATAAAGGCCAATTGTGTGAATTTCTTCTGCATGATTCACAGGTGTTCAACAAGTAGCACAGACATCATGATGCTGGTAGAAAATTAATGCATTTGTAAATCCAAATCTCACAACAAGCAAATCCATAGAAGTAAAAGGAAATGAAATGTATCAAACTTACAATGATAAGAACTGATGTAAATCCAATAGCATAACTCTCATTGATGCGTCGCAAGTGATGATCAAGTATACTTGAGCCAGTGGCTAAGATACTCAACAACATGCCTCCTATAAATTCAATTAAGAGATGATACACGTGAAAGGAGAGGATTACTAAACAAGAACACTGATAACTTACCCCAAAAACGTGTTGATGCTTGAATCTTAGTCAAATATTCAACAGTTGCCTTCCCTGGTTTTATGTTTGGAATCCTAGCACCAATCTTGTTCAAGTACTCGGCAATTTCCTTTGGCATGTTAGCCTGGAGAATTTTCAGTAAAATGGTTTACAGATGCAGCTGAATAAAAATATGTTCACTCTTTCATTAGTAATAGGTAGGTAGGAATTGACAAAATGCACAAGCAAGTCCTTCCATCATACATTGACCTTAACACTTCATTTTGGTCTGTTTCTAATGGTTCTTTACACTTTCAATTTATTCTATTTTTGGCAAACCCCTTTTACTACATTACTTACTCTTAACCCACAGTATTCATCAGTTCATCTTTTTCTTACACTCACCCACTTTTTTACATTCTATCTTACTTTAACCATCTTTTTCTTACATCCACCCATCCACTCAAATAACTTCTTAAAATTTGTGCAAATAATTATAATTAAGATCAAATGGAAAATGTTTGATAGAAATTTTGGAACATGATTAGCAAGAAAGCATAAAATCACAAGTCCAGAAATTAAAAGTAAGTTGGTATACTTACAATATCAAATATATTGAAAACGAAGACAAAGAATGCATAAATTGTGTAATAAACCCAGGGTGCTGCACCAATTGATGTTTCAGGGTTCAATATCTCTTTTACATGTTCCCAGAATTGTGAGCCGAGCAAGCTGCAAATAACACTTCATGTTAAAGCACTAACCTGTAAGCAATAAATCTTAAAAGAATTTATGACAAAAAGGAGCAAGGCACTGATCATATACAATAACTACAATTTCATCCGTTGTGTGATAAAAAAAAAGTGTCAACTGAAAAGAATAAAGAAAGTACATATTTTTATAAATGAATGCATATCTTTGGAACTGGAAAAGCAAATTTAGATTGTGCTTCTTTTCCTAATAGAATATGATCATGTGAATATAAAGATGCCAAGGAAAGTTAATGGAATAAAACCTACACTTAAGGCCTTAAGGGTGGTTTTTTATTATCTTTAATAAAATCCTATAAAGCAAGCATGGATGGTTGTGTAAATAAGTAAATGCTAGATGTAATTCTAATTGATAATTTATATAGTTATCACCAAAGTACTGGTTTTGGGAAAATGAAGAGCTGATCATGAATTGGGGCAGTGTAATTGGGCAAGCTATGACCAGGCCATAACCTTGAAAAAACAGCCTGATTATTGGACTGGGAGAAATGTTCTGGCCATAATCATTGCTTGAGACCTGACCAAATTTGATTAGCTCTAGTGCCGGGACATCGATATCTTAGGTTTTTGCATACCAAGAAATGGTAAAGTTGGTGGTGCCTTACACGAAGCCATTGTTGTAATTTACAAGACCAAAACACGTGCATACTCTATGTGGATGAACATGCGAATATCACATTGATATGTGTGTAATTTTTTTTTTAGGTACAACGAAAATTTAGGGAGCCTTTCTTTCAAGTCAGATACATACATACGTTAACATACACATTACAATGAACTAGATATATAAAAACAGGGCAGAGATTATGACCTTGCAAGTATACTAGGAAATGCCAAGAGATATGCTGTGGTGAGAACAGGCTGCATTCCAGATGGATTTATATTGAATGGAATGTATGGCTCCACCTCGGTAACAGGAGATGCATCTCTGTGCAAGAAATAAGATTAATTGTAAAGGCATATACTATAGACAGTTAGACACCATTCTTTTTTGTTTTTGTTAACACTTTACCTATATTTGAATATATTCCTTTACAGATAACTACTAACTTTAATCATTATTTCGTCAAAATATGCTCAAATACGTTTTTCCTAAAATGACTATTACAGTGAATAAAAGTAATACGGCTACGATGGTTTCGTAAAGGATATAATCTGAGGAGCAATGAAATCTCAGTCTACAATATTAAGTCCACATATTTGCTTGAACTATATCCTATCATGGGGGCAAATGCAGGTATTGCCTTCTTTTCTTCTTCTCCCCCCCCCCCCCCCCCCCATCACTTGGAAATATGCTGATTGTATATGGTATTTGTCTTTCAAACTATTAGAGAAACCACCTAATCAACTCCCTATAACAGAAACAGAAGTTACCTGGCTGTGGAAGCAAGCTTGAAACCATAGTACTGCAGCTTAACTTTCCTACAGCCTTGAGTCACAACAACTGCCCACATGGTCACAGCCATAAATATACCTAGTAAAGCAAGTGCATAAGGTGACCAATTTAAAGCACTTCCTGCAAAACAGCAAAGAAAAGAGCTTCAGTTTCACCACATACACTTCATTTTATGCCTGCATTGCCAAACTCGTCGCATTAATATAATTAGTTGATTAGGCAACATAATCCTTCTTCATGAACAGTGTGAGTCAAGCAAATAATGTCTAGAGAGAGTAGACTTTTGCACCAGAACATAAAATTTTCTATGATTTTCCATACCTGAAAACTGAGACAGCATCTTGTATAGTGTACTTGTGTAGCTGGTCAATATTCCAACACAGATAACCAGAGATGATCCTTGACCTGAAATATAGTCATAACTCAAAACTGAATAACTGTTTGGGTAACCTTGAATCAGCTCGATCACTAATTGCTTATGATAAAAGTGCAATATTGATGGGAATCCAAATGGTCAAAGCATTACTAAATAGTCAACTTCTAGATGACGTCTCTGCCAGAGCATAATTAAAATAATGTGCCTTGAGCCCATTAAATATCATTTGATCACCTAGCGGTTTGGATCAGCCTCTCTTGGCAAGTCAAGCTTTGTAACATTTGTGACTTGGATTGAAGACTATAAATGGGCTTCACAACAATTTTCAATTGCTTTTTAGAGCGACACAGTTTTTCCAAGCTCTTAAAGTAAGGGTTTACATGTTGGCCTTGTTGGGCACTTGGGCCCTTAATCATCTTAATTAGTTAAATTATGTGTATGGCCTGAATTCTAAAACATTGAATTTTGTATTAGGCCAAGGGTTCAGTCGATAAATTAGCTTATTTTCTATAGCTTGTAGGATTCCCAAGTCTTCTTGTAAGTTTGCTGTCAATGCTTTATTATTTAAGTCCCTTCTTAAATAACATAACCACCACCAGGGTCCACCACAGATGAGCACAATTGCTGCAAAAAATTTACACTCATTCTCAACCTTGATAAAGAATTCTAGAAGACAACCGCTAATAAAGAATCATCGATTGTAACTACAGCTACTACACTCATTCTCAACCTTGCTTTTCTTTAAGGTTGGGAAATGGAAATTAGGAATTCAAATATGGTACACAAGAGACTTACATCAAAGTCGTGCAAAAAAAGTGCTAAATGAATAGGTCAAAATCAAATAAATTTTAAATTGAAGGATAACTGACTAAAAGCATACCAAAACCAGCTTCTGAAATCTTATCACATATCCATGTCATTGTCATAGCACCGCAGACCAGCAAGAGAGATGTTATCATCACATGCTTAACCCTGGAAAGATTATGAATAAGAATAAGCAATTTTAATGTGACACTCATTGTTATACACCATAAACATAACTAAAACTCGTGTAATTCTCAGTTACGCCTCACCAACCAGCTTTAAGTACAAACTTCAGCCTAAGAAGGGTTAAGGGGATCAAATAAAAACTAGCCTTTTTTTTAGACAAAACTAAAATGCAAAAGGGCAACGATACCCAAACAAGAATATATGTTCCCATGCAAATGAAGTTTTTTTTTTTTTTTTTTTTTTTTAAATCAAAAACTTATTTACAAAAAGGGACATTCAAGTACTAGCGCAATACAATATTCAATTTTAACATACAAGGTACCATTGTGTTATGTGATCTTATGACCTTTTATTATTCAAAAAAGTTTAACACTTCAATAAAAGCTAATGACCAATATCTAGAAACGAATTTAAATGGGAAGTGTAAGGATCAATATTGAGTACCTATGACTGGCAGCATAGATGGAATACTGAAGTGAATGACAGGCAACTACCACAGCTTCCAATATGGCAAAGCCAAGAGAGGTCCACCATCTGAGATTTAATTAGGATAATCATCAAAGCTATCACTATATCTTAACAATAAAATATCAACCAAAGCAATATTAAGGACTAACTGTGCAGACACACATATAACCCTTGATCTTCTCATGGCCATCTAAGCCTTCTTTGCGCAGCTTAACCAAGGCAGGAACAACATAACAAAGTATCTGCATACAGTAGGCAAGCGTCACATCACTATGAATATGAAACAAGGGAATATTTACAAAAAAAAAATAGATGGAAAAACTGACAGGATTAAGAATTGCAGCCACATAAGGAAAAAAAAAATGGATATGAGCAAGAGCTAATGAACCACTCGATCATTCCATTTGAAGCAAAAATAATGAGTCCAGGAAGTAGACCATCAGGTCAAAATACACATCATTATGAGCACATAAAAGAATGAAAGAATTTACAAAAAGGTCCAGGACAGATGATAAAATATTAATCAGGACTGAAACAAAAACATAAGTGGAAGAAGTTCACATTTACATCATAAACAACTACTCCACCAATAGAGTATCCAACAACTCAACAAGTGTTTAGCTGCTAAAAAGAAAATTAGCAGTGGGTAAAACTCGTCAAACACAAATGTAGCAGCCCTCTAACCGCTCATGAGCAAGTGAAACACCCATAGAGTAGTAATTTGAATGAGTTTATCTCTACTTACCTCCTTTTCATCTTTATATATATATATCACGGCATCCTAACTAGTACTTCCTCCATTCTTTAATATTGCAACATAGGGGGAGTGCACAAGATTTCAAGGAAAAAGGAAGACAAAGACAAGCAAATTTACAAACTTTTCCACGTGATTGCAAGTACTAACTAAAAGCAACAAGTATTAATAAGTGATGGTATATTGAGTATTAGCAGTGTGAAAAGGGATGTTTGATTTCCTAAAATGGATATGTTGCAAATATTTGTAAAACATTAGACGAGGTAAAAGTTGCAATGTTAAAGGAACATATGAAAATATCATGTGCATTATTAGCTTATTTTCAATAACTTTAATATGTAATGTTTATTTGTTTATTTTTTGGCTAGATTGATTTACTCCCTCCATTACAAAATAATTGCCCCATTGAGTGGGCACATAGTTTTAGGCAAATTGTTTTAATTAATTAAAAAATATGCAAGTGGATATTTTTTATTAATTAAACATTCTGATATAGTAAAAGTGAGAGAGAGGGAGAGAGAGAAATAATAGAATATGTAGGTGAGGGGGACCATTATGGAATAGATAGATAATAAATAATAGTGATAGATTATGGGAAATAGGACATTTATTGGAACGAGTGCTTATGGGAACTGGTCAACTAGGGCATTTCTTAACTTTATTTTATCATTTTATTTAATTATTGTTATTCTTAATTTTTCACCGCCAACACCTTTATTCAACACCACTTACCATCAACAACTACAATAACTCCTTACCTGCAACCACACCAAAGCAGCCCCTATTGGGACCTTGCCACCACCAACAATAAAAAAATGACAGCAACACCTTATTCTGCACTACAATAGCCACATCAACAATGCAAAGGCAGCAGCATCATCTCATCATCATCATGTTATCTCAGCACTGCAGCGCAAAGTCGTTTTTGCTCTGAGTTTCATCTCCTTTTCCACAGACTTCACAGCATATGGTGAATTCAAGTGCCGAGATGGAGATATTCACCCTGCTTGGGGTAGGGTTTGGGAAAAAAACCCAACCATGATTAATTTGGGTGTTTGAGTTCGAATTTGGGGTTTAATCAGGTTAATTGATTGATCAATGGCATAACTACTATTTGCTTGCATTTTTGTGGATCTCTTGAGTGCTTGTTATATTGATTACCTAGTCATATGAGATAAGAGACCAAGGTTGACTTCATTTTATTGACTTGCTTGATTTCTCACGAGTAAAAAGTTAAGTGAGGATTTATGGATTGACATTGAGCCAATTACTTCTTTATATATTTGACGGCATGAGAGTGTCCAATTATGTGAATCAAGTAGTTGTGTTCCTATGGCTATTTTAGGGCCAATCATCTCAATTAGTTGCTTATCCACCTTTACCCTTTCTTCGACTCTTCATTTGCCAATTTACGAATTGGCTTTGTTTAGCCCCTTTCTCTAATCCTGCTTACCTTGTCTTTGTCATATTTGTTAGCTAATTTTACTCTTTTCCAGTTCACTTTAGAACTGGTAAATGACTGCTCCAACTTATCTTCATCTTATGTTATTATTCGATATACTTATTAATTTATGGAAGAATGCCCCTTGCTTATTACTTTCCTTATTTTATAAATTAGTTAGATTTTTTTTATTAGGGATAGTTTACCAATGACCAATTTGTCTTTCTTCAGCTAGAGATGGTGGAATAGGAATGGAAGTCAAAAAAAGAGGTTAGAAAACCAAAATGGAGAAAAGGAGCTAAGTCAATGAAATTCGAATGTCTAGAGAAATATATCTAGCTCTTGTATCGCAATAATAGTGTATTTTATGATTTTTGTAGGCTATTTTTTTTTAAGAATAGTCAATAAAAGGTTAAATAAAAGTATATTGGAGAAATCTTGCTTCATTTTATATTTTACCCAGGGAGGGGGAACATATCATCTAACAATGTCCAGTTTGATGACCAAGAATATATTATATACTCTGTGTGTGTGTGTGTGTGTTCCTCTCCCTGATTGTTTTAGTTTTGTCCCTGAAAATCCCCCATCTTCCAGTTGTCTCTCCTAAATTACCCTCCACTTTATTTTCCTAATCCATCTTCCTCTCCCTGATTGTTTTAGTTATGTCCCTGAAAATCCCCCATTTCCAGATGTGTCTCCTAATTTACCCTCCTTTTTACCTTCCAAATCCTCAATCCGTATTAATTATTATCACCCATACAAAGTTACTCCAAGGCCCCAGCCATGAGGTCAAGGTTCATAAATTCCAACTTCATGTTGCAGTTTTGAAGCTCTACCACTAAAGCATGCAGCTTGGACCCAAAGATATAGATGTTTCATGCCATAATTTCTATCTATCTTAAGTGGTCCAAGTGCATCTTGGACTGCAGTAAATATACACACAATAGCTAATAAGTCTCTAGCAAAACTTTTTGAACACTTCTTTGTTTCATTGTCTTCACAACCACTGTTTTAAAATAAGCTTCGTAGGTGATCAGAAATACTCAATTTCTCGGGAAAAAAATTAAAAAAAAAAAAAAAGTTGAATGATCCAGATTCTCAACTAGATTAAAGTGTATTCACCTAGGCATATAGAACGGCAGCCTGCATTACATAATTACCAAAATAAAAGGAATCAAGGCCTAGTAGATAGGTATCCGTGTTCTCTGGTAACATCCATATACCCCAATGACAAGTATAACACTCAAGATAGGTATCCGTGTTCTCTGGTAACATCCAGATACCCCAATGACAAGTATAAGACTCAAGATTGGGTTAGAGACGGACATTTTGGGAAAAAATTGCGTAGTTGCCCAACAAAAGTGTTTAAATGTCATATCAATGTCTGAGAATCTGACCATAGGCACTTGCAGCGAAATGTAGAGTTGGAGTGACATCTAACAAGAGGTATGACTAATTCCAAAGTTTTTAATGGCCTATTGACTAAGAAAAATGTCAATATTGATTCAAGCAGCAAAATAAATGAAGCTAATTACTGCAGTAAAGATCAGCCTTTGACTAGAGCTTTAAGCCATTGTTTCTTTAACCACCAGTCTGATGATAAATTTCATAAGTGGAAAAGAGAGAGAGAGAGAGAGGGGGGGGGGGGTTGTGAAGGTATTATGGCTTAATTTTCAGCTTTCACCAACTTGCATTCACTGCCAAACTACATTTCTAGAATCACAAATACGTTCACAAAGAGCATATGATTTTCTAATCTTGTAGTATACCATGCATGTCTCACCTGATATTGAAAAAAGAATATAAGCAAGTTGCAGATCTTACACACCTTAACACCACAATAGTCAAAGGAAGCCAGTGCACAGCTCACACAAAACATGGCACGTTTCAGGAAATAGCATATATAGGATATTTGTGGTGACGTGACAGGTATGCAGCGTTCCCACTTTTCCACATAGATACTTTTACTCAACTAGATCCAATCACCATAACTAGCAGATAATGCAATAACAACATGAGTACGAATGATCTCCATGGTTAACTCTTTCCATTATCTGTAGCTACTCAATCAAGATTTTAGTCATCAATCTGTACTAGATTTCTGTTGCAGGAATTGAGACCTCATATATAGGCAAACTCATCATGTATATGGAGGTGATGGAGTTTCTATCTCTATATCACTAGAATGACCCGAACTGCGAGGATCAGGATCAGATAATATTGATAGTCTTTCTCTTTTTGTGATAGTAAATAAGGATCAGCTTTTAGCAAGGTATGGAATGCATCATCATACATTAATATGCTTTCACAGGTACTAGTTTAGATCAAGTGACGGATTTCAGCCAAAGCTGCTCACTGATATTCTTTATTGCTAAAACAAAAAAGGAACTTATAATTTTTGTTTGCATTGTCTACTTATCACCTTACCACCCAGAAGATGAAAGTTACCTGTTTTAATCAACTTCAACAATCCTAGTATTCTACGGTCATTGTGAACTTTCATCATATATCAGTAATATCACCATGTACGCATATTAAAACTTTATGCAGCAGAAAACAGGTAAGAAGAACTGCAAACCGAGGAAAAAGCATGTGTTCATGCATAGTTCAGGAAAACCAACCTGCATAAGAATAGATGCTGCTATCTGCGGGCTAATTCCTAACTGGAAAAGAGACATCTTAAGTTCTGGACCGTAATCACCGAGTTCATCTGGAAAAAACACAATTAGTCACCACAAATCAGCACTGCTGATTTTGCAAGACTAGAGAAATTATAATACATTCGTCAACAGCAACACTATAGTCATTTGCCAGCAATACTTCTCAAAAGCAAAGCCTGGAGTAAAGTTAGGAGAAACAAAAGCTAATTTTTATCTCAAAATCAGCAGTGCTAAGTACGGATCCACATCAGAACTTTCATATTCTATCAATTAGGAGACAGCATTGAATTTCTTACTAAAGATCTCAATTGCTACTTCATAACTACAATGTAACCAATGTATACACTGTGTTTTGCAATGAAGACTCTTAGAGTCATAGGCATTGTTAGTTTCTAAAGAGAACAAATTACAGTTACGAAAACAGAATTTAAACATCAGAGATTGTTACCAAAGTGGCAGTTAAGACCTTATATCAGATATTTCGATAACTTATTCAGTGAAAGACATAACATATCAGAATTTAACGAAAATATTTATATATAAGGAAAGTGATAACCAATTCACATACCAGCAGCTCCGGAAACAAAGCTCAGGTAGGCTTGAGGTATCAGTCGTCTATCAAAACCAGGCACAGGGATAAAATATCCAACACGGCTAATAACTAACAAAGCAGCAGTAACAAACAACCTACGGCGAATCTCACTCTTGAAAAACGATTCAGCTGCTTCATTGATGACTGATCCAAACCGTAAAAAGTTCAGAAACCTATTCTTAAATGTTTTCTTTTCGGAAGGTAAACCATCCCCATCATTATCGATATAATTCAATGGAGTTGAAACTTCCGCATCGTCTAACTCTGACAATGGTACTTCTTGTGAAAATGGATGTATAGACATAGCCTCTACATATTGAAACCTTTGAGAAGATCGCAACAAGTTTCTATTCAGCTTAGAGATACAAGGAACACTCAAAGACATAGCATGTCTTTGGACATGTCTTTGCACACGTAGTAAACGAACATGAGTAGTAGTAGTGGAGGTTATTCGCCGTAATTTAAGACTAGGAACAACATATACACCTGTACAATGGAGATAGAATTGAGATCAGTTCCATACATCTCTATCATATAAATCATAAAGGAATTTCTAACGGTTTCATGTCCAAATTATGGACTACCAATAACGCCCTTCTTCCCTATTTTTAAATAACCTATATTCAAGTTAGGTGATAGTTAGGAGGAATAAAAAATTTATTGACTTCATATCTCTATTGCATAAGTGACGATACACAGAGATTTACATGCAAACATGCAATAATCTATAACTTAATATGAATCCAAAACCCTTCAAATTCTCTATTAATGCATGTTTTAACGAACGGGGTTATAGATTGATTACTATTATTAATTTGATAAAAAATTATCTATGCAATACACAAATTGGGCATTTGACATATTCCGATATCCTGTGCTTGCATATTACACAGATGGCACACACTGATATTTTTGGAACAATATTGCAAATGTTATATTGCCTTATGTTAATTAAAAGTAAAAAGAATATTAAAATTGTCTATTTTACAGAATTCTATTATCATTATTCTGAAATAGATAATCTAGAATCGGCAAAATCAATCATAAGAATCATAAGATTGCCATTTATCTTTTTTTTACACTAGTCTCTATTATATAAGCCAAATCATGGAGTGTTTTTAGTTCACCAACAATGCTTAAAACGTCCTTACTTTGTTGTACTCTCTACTTTTTAAAATTTTAACATTTCAAAATAAGGAAAATACAAGTTGTCGTACATGTATTTTCAAATCTGAAAAACATATCATGTATTCACGTACATCTAGAACTAGTTTTCTTAAAGCAAACAAGCAAATAATAATAAAAATAAAAAAACCCCTTCAATAAGCTATTTATTCATCTTCTAACACTTGATTGTAAGGCATGCTTCTAAATATATATCATGCTACAAATATTCATGCAATTTGATTCCATAATCATGCACTATCAAATTCCTGCAAATCTTATAGTTCACCATTCAGCCTCATTGATTACCATCATGGAATGTCTTTCAATTACAAAGGTATGCTTTCATTAACTATTGGAAGCATGTCTTACAATAAAAGGCATTTACTCTAAATGATAGTATAGGATTAGTCACAAATGACAATTAATTTAAAAAATCAATATGTTTGGTTGCTATCAATTGGCATATTTATATGATTGGACTTGCAATATGATATAGGCTAAATATATAGGACCACACACTATAGTACGTATCGAACCATTATTCTAAGGATAAATAGGCATAGTGTCGTGACAAAGCTACATTATCAAACTTGATAACACTCACAAAAGCGGCATATAAGCAAAGATGGCCATAAGATTTAGTGAGTGTGTGAGTAGTCGGCTATTTGCAAGGGAAAGAATAAGCCAACACACCTATTCAAGATTTTCCTTCATTCAATAATATATTTTCATCTAAGATATTTTCATAACTAGTCGGCTAGGGAAAATCATCTACTACCCCCATTACATATTATTTGCAGCTTTGGAAGGCCACACAGACTTCTACGCAAAATTTGTTTGTGAGTGTAAAATGAAGAGAAAGATATGGATGCTTGTGATAAGGAAAGAGATAGAGAGAAATGACAACCTAAAAAGGAAAGAAAACATTTGTTGCAAATAATATGTAGCATTCATTTTTGGCAAAAGTTGCAAATAATATGAAACAGAGGTAGTACTTTCGATAAAAAGGGTTTTGACTTTTGAATATATTATGTATTACCTCCGCTTTGCTAAGTGGTCAGTTACTATAGCTACACATAACAAGAAAAAGTAAAAATGGGGTCCATACATGTGGGTATTTTTGTATTAAGAAGGAGAAAAAGATTGAGAGTAAGAGATTTATTAAATAAAATGGGAGCCCACATAGCGGGCTTATGGATGATAAAAAATGAATAAAAAGTTATCATAACAAAATAAAGTAAAAGTGAATAGAACTTAGAAAAACGGGGGAAAATAGAAAGTGAGTAAAACTTAGGAAAACGAAGGTAGTACAAGATAAAAGCATAACAGAGAGTAAAAGAGAGTTAAGTCTTCCATTGCAATTTGATCATACGTCTGCATATCATTAGAGAAACTCAAATTGTGGTTCCACATTTGTGACTAATTTGATCCAGCTAGAAGATTCACGCATCAAAAGTTATTTCATGTTTTGTGTATCAGATTCAAGCTAATTATATACATGAGATCCTAATTTAGGATGATATTTCCCTGAATTGATTTCATTAAACCTAACATTAAACCCCTAATTTCTTTATATGCAACAACTAATTGAGAATGAGTATCATGTATGATTTAGTAAGAATTTGTATTTTATCATGATTTCTATATGCCATTCAACCAATGACTTTCTCCCTCGTAATGTGAATATATGTCAATTTAAAAAAAAAAAAAAAAATACTTCCTTCGTCCATTTTATGTTGACATATTTAATTTATCATGTTTGCCAACGCACAAGATTAACACTTAATATCTCTAATTATCAACAAGTAAAAAATTATAAAAAGTTGCTATTAAAAAATATAGACAATTTTAAACAAAATCCCACATGACTATGTTTTATCATAACTATAAAACACAAAATCTAGTCAAAATTAATTTTGTGAATAGAGTTAAAAGTCAAAACGTGTCAACTAAAAAAGAATAGAGGAAGTATTGCTTAAGTCATTTATTCATGTATATCAATCCAAAAGCAAATTATACACTAAAAAAGGAGAAAAAAAAAAAACAAAAAAGATATTAATAATTCATTTGTTTGGCAATACCTTAAGCATTAAGTGAGAAAAGTTTGGAGAAAGTTTAAGCATTAAAGTCTGAAATAAATTTAAACAACACTCATTCATTTCCTTTTTGCATTTGATATCATATTTTTCTAGGTAATTGCACGACTAAACAAAAGAAAATACTCTGTTACTTTCACCTTTTGGCAAATTTTGTAAGAACAAAAAAGGCATAGCAGAATGCATACTTCTTTCAAAACTGTAATATTATAATTTTGAATATACTTCACAACTTTGAATGCGAGATTCAATTAGCTCATAATTTTAGGCTAATAAAAAATTAAAAAAAGGTAAAAAATAAATAAAAGAATAATAAAATATAATTTTAAAAAAATAATAAAAAAAAAAAGCTCCATTTATCAAGCAGAGAAATGATAGATACAATAACATATGTTCAAATCTCATATCAAAAATACATTATATAATTTCATGGGGTGCAAATGTGCAACTGCTAATACTTCATCTCTAATTGGCAAAGGTTTAAGGGGTGTAAATGTGCAAGTGCTAATTACGTGTGACACTCTATGTTTCACAATAACTTGATTCTTTGTTGCAAAACTAGGACTAAGTCTCCTCAATTTTACCACAATTTCAGTTCAAGTTGATGGTTCATGGCAGCGAATAATAATAATTGTAAGGGTGGCATTGCACATTGCTTACTTACTATATTTTACACTCAGAACCACTAGCCATGTTATACGATAGGCTCTTTCCAAACAGTTCACAAAATGTTACAAATGATGCAAAACCATGAAGTTGTTGCAAGAAAGTCAAAGAGCTATCCTATGAACCAATCACGAACATCAGCAAATTCATAAACATCTCAATGGGGGTTGGGCGCACATATCATATTCCACATATATCATGTTTAATCAAACTCATAATGTTGCTAATATCAGTAACCCATCTTATTTCTTTTATGTAGCAAATTAGTAGTAATATATTACTCTCTTTTTTCCGTACAGAAAAGAATAATTCAAGAGGATGTGATTCAGAGAAAATGTGGATTATATAGGTCTTAGGACAAATTTTATGGAACAGAACATGGAAGAACTTCAAGGAGCAAAGTGAATATCAGCAAATTCCTCTGAAATTGGTTTTTCTACTTAAACAAATCAACATTCTATAGTGTCATCATTTATACTTCATTTCAATATAATCACACCATTCTAAATGGTACATAATTTAAGAAAGAGAAAAGAGAACGTTAAGGAGGCAACACGAAATTGAGAACAATACAGTCTTTCTCATACTATACCAACTAGATAATGAAATGGTGCAAGGAATGCGGTGCAATTATATTGAAACGAAGTAAGTATTTAATCAACTAGCAATCTCAGCATTTCAATATTTTAATACAAATTCAACAATTAAAATAAAATTCTGAAACAAATAAATAAGACCGTTGGTAGCGTTTCAATACGAATTCAAAATTAAAGTAAAAAATTCATACCGTTGGTAGCAGAACTAGCTCGAGGGAAATTCGAAGAAAGGTCCATTTCATAGTTTCGTCCTACAATAAAGGAAAATAAACAACAGCCAGCAATACATTAGCAACAAAATTTGATTCAATTATCAAATTAGGCTATAAAAATCACATTAAATTATATTCGTATAACAATATATCAACGAAAAATTGCATATAGCAAAAAAAAAAGATTGTTATAATCTTTCATAACTTCAGTAATTAATTTATTATAACCAGAAGAGTTCAATAAACTTAGAAGAACCCTAAATTGAATATACTGACAATTAAATTAACGATAAACCCTACACTGTTATGATTGATTAGAAAAACTTACCTCAGAAGCTGCTTCAATGGAGAGAAGAGAAAGCTAGAAGTTGCTTCAATGGAGAATTCAGAGTTCGCACTTCAATGGAGAGAAAGAGAGAGGAGTGCAGGGCAGAAGTGAAGCTCCAATGGAGAAAATTTATGAAAATTGTTGGAATATTTAAGTACACGCACGACTGTCTAATCTATATCATTTGTACAACGGCATACCATACCAAAAAGAGGCGTAACCTATGGGGTTTAAAAACCATGGGAAGGGGTGGACTTGGCTCATTCCATTCCTTTAGATATCAAATAAAAGGAGGAAGTAGTGAGAGATTTCATTTTAGAATTGAACCAAATACATGATATTAAGTATCAAGTTTCTACCACCTTAACCCCTCATTCCTGATTCCAAACCCATACCACTTTGCGAACCAAACGCCCCCTAAGTGTTGTGTAAGGCGGGTGTACTTAATTTTATTGTAAAACGGTCAGTTTGAGCGTAATTTTAACTATTTTAGGGTAACTTTAACCACTAAAAGGATAATTTTTAATCTGTCGTTGTTTGAATTTTATTTTAATGTGTAATTTTTTATAGATTCATAATTACACACTATAAAGCCTAATATGATTAATCAAATACATTATAAGTTTTTTGTAATATAAAATTTCTTATTAGAAAAATATAACTTTTGTAATATAAAGGGTAACTTTAAATAATTTTATGATAACTTAACCCGTCTTACAATAAATTAACTTGCATCCGCCTTTTTAGAGAATTTGTGATATCATACTTAGAAAACAATCCGAAGGAAATTGTTCGATTTGACTCCGCTAAAATGAAATCCGAATCTAAGTCTGAAAAATAAAAGTCCGACAATAGTTATATGGTGCACCGTGGTGCAACTAGAAATAGGTGCACCTCGTCTATAATATGAACATTTATTAAAAAATATGTGAATAACTTATGTTTTCGTCGAGTGCAATTACTAAAAATGGATCAATATTATAGAGATAATAAGTTCATTCTTTTGGGTCGTCATTATCTGTTGCTAGACGTATGCAAATTCTTGTATACATTCTGGTGCAGCTATTTCTAACTGAACCAGGGTTAAACGGCAACGTTTAATGTTGTCAGGATTCTCAATCCTTCCAAGCTCTCCTTCTCCTTCTCCTTGGGCTTCTCTTTCTTCTCTCTTCCTTTCTCTTAAACACACTCTAAAGCAATCTCTAATTTCAATAGCAAGAATTGCAACCAACATATCAAAACGAAATTCAGAAAAAATTATTTAGATCTAAAAAAATTGATGATAATAATATCCGAAACTAATTTTTTTTTTGTTTTTTTTAAAAAAAAAAATTCTTGTAATAGTGGATGATATAATTTTTCTTGATCTAATTAATGAAACCGAGCTCTCGAATTCCAATTTTGCAAAATTTGACTAAACATTTGATACTACGTTGGAAAGTAGAATGATGCTCCGACTTTTACTTACCAGAGAACAAATGGAGGGGGAGATGAGTTTTAAATTTATTTTATTTATATTTTATTTTTTTCTTAAGTAGGTATGTTTTACGTACTTCATGTTCATTTACCACTCTTATTTAGCTTAAATTTTCTTGGGCAAGAGAATAAGTGGAGAGGAAGGGAGGTAATGGGAGAAGCGATAGTGGTAGGACATGGTGAATTGGTGAGGATGAGGAGAGAGAAAATGATAGAATTTTATTATTATTATTTTCAATGATTTGTTTTTATTTTTAATTTTTTGGTAATTTATGAATCACATTTCCTAATAGTATGATTCTATTATAAAAGTCCCCAATTTATGTCATTTATGATGATATTAGATTAGATAGAACGTGGTTCAATGTTTGTTTATTTTCTCATGCCAAGAGAAGTTGTATAATGACGTAGCTCACCTTGTTTCAAGGGGGGATACGGTGATGAATTGTTCGTTTAGTTCATTTTCTCAAAGTATTGTAACCTTGGTGGAAATGGACATTTCCCCTTAATACATATATACACTATCTTTTCTTTCAAAAAAAAAATAGTAACTTAGTTGTAAATTCTCATATGTTTATAAATTAAAATGTATTTTATATATGAGTGCAAAGTAATTTTGTACAAGTAAATACAAAGTATGGAGTATTAAAGTTTGAACTTTTTTTTTAATAGAAGTTTGAACATTTTACTTACTTAAATTGAACACTAAAGCCTTTTTAATGAACATAATAGACATATTCGCTTATTACTTTTTAAATCAAAAAAATACTTGTATTAAGTTAAAACAAGTAATGCATATGCTTATTCGGCTAACGTTTCTCATATTAAGTGTAATGCCTTGTCATGCCAATCTTTAAATCGGACAGTGTAGTCACTAGTTAATAACTCCTCGTATAATATTTTCAAAAAAACTGGAAGATATAACATATGACTGTATATGTTGATAACTGGTTTGGATGGGGTGATAGATTTATTATAGCTAAACTTTAGAATTTGTAAACAATAATAATAGAATTTGACATACAAATGTTAAATGAACATAAAGTACTAATAAATAAACATCAAGTAATAAAAAAATGAATATAAAGGATCATGGAAATAAACCAATACGCATTGATTATGTTGAAAATTATTGAAAATGAACATGATATATAGATAATGAACAATATACATGAACAATTCGATTGAATGTAATTTATTAACATGTTTTGTCACTTTTTTGGGTGCCATTTATTATGTTCTTTTTTTTGTTGTTCGGATATGGATCGTTGGCATGCAACGCAGTTCCTACTCCGTAGACCCTCTTTTTTTCTCCAATTCATTATTTCATGTACTAATTCCTTCATCCATACAAAAATGATAGAGTGAGCCCTTGGATATAAAATACTTCTCCTTTAAACACGAACGCATCAAAACAACTATAGAATATGAACAATAAGCATAAGAATATGAACAATAAACATGAGAATATGAACAATAACCAACTAATAGTACATAAAGGAACAATAAGCATAAAAGTATGAATAATAAACATAAGAATATGAACAATAATAAGCATTAAAATAATGAACAAAAACATGTGAATTATAAGTATAAAAATATGAACAATAACCATTAGAATATGAACAAACAACATAATATGGATAATAAGGATAAGAATATGAACAGTGAACAATAAGACTATGAACAAAAGACTTAAAATATGAACACCTAGTATAAAAATATGAATAATAAGAATAAGAATATGAACAAACAATATAATAATATGAACGAGTAGGAAAGTATGAAGAATAAGAATAAGAATAAGAAAAAATAAGCATGAAAACAACATACACTATTAATACAAACAATGAGCTTATAAACATGAACAATAAGAACAAAAATATGAACAAACATCATACCACTTGTAAAGGTAGAGATTGTTCTGAAGTTGTGCATATTCATCTTTGTGCTAAAAATGAACATTATAGAAAACATAATGAACATAAGGATCAAAGTTATTTAAACCGGGATTCTACTTTGAATCAAAAGGTGCTATCATAATCGAATCATAAAATCAAATCGTAGAGTCGTAAGATTCTACCGACATGCATAATCAAGACGTCATATCTAAATTTAATTAAATGTATTGAAATTATGAGTTTGAAACCTAATTATTGATAGAAAATAGTTGTTTACCCATTAAGCAACCAATAATTGACAATATATATTTATAAATAACTATATAGGCATGTTTAAACTTGTAAGGATTTCGCTAATTAAGAGAAATATGTAAAATCGGGTGGAATCGCAAATCGAATCATGTGACACATATGAATCGTAAAATCGTAAGATTCTAAGGATCAATAAAAAGTAATGAACATTAAGTTAAATAAATATGAACAATAATATATAGTTACTAAATAATCTTTAGTCAAATTATTTTCCCTTTTTTTTGTTGAACTTTTAGAAGATTGTTTAGTGTCTTGTTCAGAATTATTGTTAGATACATTTGAGTCGAAAATGAACATCAGTAAGGACAAAATAAACATCAGTAAGAATAAAATGAACATAATAATTGATTCATATTTATGAACATGAAGTTAAATAGATATGAAAAATAGCAATTTTAAGCTATTCATGATTTAAGTAACTCCTTAATTTCTAATTTTTGTAATCTTAATTTTCACTTGAATTACTTCTCTAACTTCTTTCACTAACTCATCCAATGTATTTGATCAACAATCGGACTGTTCATAGTTTTTTTTTTCGTTGTGTGTTGAACATTAGTGTAATTGGAATTTTAGGAGTTAGGGTTTTAAATTCATGTTCAATTTCACAAAATCAACAATTGTTTATCTACTAACTAATTTAAGCTTACATTTTCAACAGTTTTGAAGTATCTTCTGATTTTTTTTTTTTACATCTAACAAAGAATTTCATCCATGAAATTTGAAAATTTATGAGTACAATTACGTAGATTTAGTAAAATAACAATAAATTCAAAAAAATCAAGTAATGCTCACATATTATTAAAAAAAAAGGTAATGTTCACATGATTTTACGTTTATCTCTTGAATTTGTTTGAATTTGCAACAACCACGCCTCCACCATCACCGGCAGCAGGACCGATCAATAGCATCGCCGATTAGCAACAAGAACTTTGCAGCCGCTTCAATCGTCCACCGAATCAGCCCCAAATCGATGACCTTTAGAGCGGGCGCTTTTTAATAAAGCGTGGACGCTCTTTAATCTTCCAATTTCATCAATTTTGGGCAGAAGCAAGGAGCGTCCGCTCCAATGGGTATGAGTGGCCGCTCCGTTTTATCGGGTCCAAATGTAGGGGGTTAAATGAAATTAGATGGCTGTTGTTTTGGGGTTTTCTGATGTCCTGCGAGAGAGTTACAATTCCGAGACTGGAACCAGACGCCTGTACCTGCAAAACAAACGGATGCTCCGGATGATTGGAGATTCGCCTCCGACGGTCAAGTTAGTACTTGATTAAGGAGTAATTAATGCGGAAATTAAAGTGATTGGGTCTCTCTAGGTGAGAGTGTTTAATGTGTGTAATTTGCCTAATCTCCCTTAATGAGGATTAAGGGAGGTATTTATAACCTCGGGAAACGTGCCAATCTAGGTTTAGGTTAACCGTGGGCTGATTGGGCTTCCCTCGGAAGTTGGGCCTAGGTGGCCGGCTTCTCCATTAGGCATGGAGTATGCCATGTGTCATGACATAATAAGTC